TATAAGTTAAAAAATTTGGGTATGTTTTCCACTTTTATGTCTTGTTTTTTAATACACGAAAGTATTTCCAGGGGCTGGAGAGATAGTATAAGAATTGAGATGCTCATCTTGTTTCCAGCTGACCTGGTTCAAATATCTGGCGCTGCATACAGGCCCCAGGGCACCACCAGGGGTCACTCATGAGCACAGAGCCAGGAATAACCCATGAGCACTGCCAGGTATGACCCAATCCCTCCCTCTCAAATATTTCCAAAAGTAAATAATAAACTTCAAAGGGAACTCAAGATATAATTATCCATGGAAATAGGTCATTCTTTTTAGAAGTAATGTGGGGAAACCATTTCATAGGTTGATTTCACGTACTCTGACCCCCAGCATGTGTCACTGGGAGCTCCCACTTGGATGTCACATTGAACAGACTCTGCCACCAAATATGTACAGGAATCAGTTAAATTGGCTTGTTAAATGGGGGGGGTGGTGGATGTCATAGAGTTTCAAATTAACTTAACATATCGATACTTTCAAACCTTTAACTTGTATTTGTTGAAAAAATAGGATTGATTTACTGAAGCTGCCAGATGGCAAGAAACACAAGTAGCAGTACCCACATCACCATGTGGACTATTGATCACTCTGCTAACTAGTTTGGGGTGAAACTTTTTTTCCCATTATCTAATGGACCTGTTTGGGGACAGAGTGATCATTTTAATAAAGAGAAAGTGGTTTGAGGCTCAGTAGTATATCTCCAACCCCAAACATGAAGTATTCAGAAGCAACTCCCCACCACCCTGCTCCCTCATCTCAGTATGTCTGAAAGGAAATCCTTTTCAATTTGAGAGAAAGAGTCCCTCCTGTTGAGCTGCCCTTCCATTCGCTGACTGCCAAGCAGAATCCTGCCCTCCCCAATGTTCCATACTAGCACTTCATTCCTTTGCCTTGAGGACTGTAGCTTGCCATAAAAATATTAAAGGTTCTGGGAAAAGGTGAAACATTAAGCTCCGTTCTGCATCTAGTTTTTCAGGTCTTTGTGTGAGTGTGATAAGGAGGTCCTAAAGGGATACAATGCTGCCTGAATCGTTGTGCTGGGGAATATCTGGACCATTCTGGTAGTGATGGGGAAGGAGCCTCTAGGACTAAATCTGGTGATGCTTGGGGATCATATAAACCGGGATCAAACTGGGGTAGGCCATATGCAGGGCGCACACAACTTAAGCCTTACCTCATGTGTTATCTCTCAGTCCTTTGGGTCTTTGGGTAGTATTAATGGGGAGAACAGTAGATTACTTAAGTGGTTAAAGATTTCACAGGAGACATAGCAATTGTACCATGAATAACGTGTTTGCCTTGCATGTGACTGACCCAGGTTTGATCCCTGGCATCCCATATGGACCCCCAATGGAGTAACTCTTGAGTGCAGAACCAGGAGAAGCCCCCAGAACGTAGCTGGGTGTGACCCAAAAGCAAACAGAAATGAGTTCATGGACAGATTGATTTGGGGCATCTTTTTTTTTTCTTTTTTGGGTCACTCCCGGTGTTGCTCAGGGGTTACTCCTGGCTCTGTGTTCAGGAATTACTCCTGGTGGTGCTTGGGTGACCATATGGGATGCCAGGGATTGAACCCAGGTCGGCCGCATGCAAAGCAAACGCCCTACCTGCTGTACTATCACTCTGGCCCAATTTGGGGCAGTCTTAAACCTAAATTCTTGATGATGCCCTGGTGGAACTGCGGCTCCCACTGAAGCCATCATATGTGGTAACTTCTAGTCTAACGTGAGACGCAGCTGCAGAAGCACCAGGGAACAGAGAGGAACAGAAGACAAAGGAAGTTGCCCATAACAAGGATGCCACAGCTGTGCCAATGGACAATTTGTGCAGATGTAGCCCTCAGTCCACTGTGTCCCTCTGAGTGACGCTGGACAGTCAGCGCAGAGACCGGATCTGTCTAACAGCTTGCTAGAGCCTTTTCATTAACCCATTCCATTCTTCGTTTATTAAAGGCTTCAGTTGGAATGAGCCAGGCCCAAAGATTAACCTTTGGAGAAGAGAGATGAAGTCCTGGTAAGACTTCCTAGGTCTATGTGACTGCTTGTCAAGGCTGAGCTGTCTCTGTCCACTCGTGGTTGATATTTCCAGAAATGATGGAAGTCCTTTCTTCCCATTTAGAAGTTTTAACTGTTTGTCTGTGGACTCGTGCTGGAATTTAACAGCCAGATGTTTCTGCTGCTTCTCATTTCTCTAGGCTACTTTTCTGTTGCAAAGCCATTTTTCTCATCCGATGGTATAAATCTCCATAAGTTGTCTTACCTTGCATAGTGGAGTGTCTGTGCAGTAGCAGTGCCAGTGCCTTACGTATGTGTAGCGTTCTGTGGTTTTTCAAAGCCTTTTTACATATAGTTTCTCATGATGCGATGTCCTGGCTGTTGCTTTATCCCCTCCTTCGACCCCCCCCCCAGTCTTCTGTATATATATATGTATATATATATATATATATATATATATATATATTTACCATTTCCACCAACCTGAATACTTTTTTTTTTCCTGCCCATTTTCAGGCCATTAATCCTGGTCTCCTTTCTTTCTTTTTCTTTCCTTTCCTATTATTTCTCCCAGGGACTGTGAGTATCAAAGGTGTAAATAAAGCAGCTAACAGTATAAATAATAGTGTTTTCTTTTGGCAAAATGAAGGATCACCTAAATAATCTTTATCAACAATCCCAGAGAGTTATATTGTAACTCCTTAGTTGTACGTGTCTGCAGAAATACTAAAAGAAGTGAACCTTAATGATTAGGCCTACTACTCTGCCTCTCGAATTGATGAACCTTCTAGAGGTAGGGGAAATAGTGCCGGCTGAAGCCTTCTGGCAGTTTTGTAGCTTTTCTATTTTGTTTGTTTGGCTTCTGTTTTGCTTAGGGGTTGCATGTGTGTGTGTTGATATTTTTGTGTTGATATTAGACATTTCCTGATGGAGAAATCCTAATTTCACTAGCACCTTTTATTTTCTTGGAGCTAAAATGGGCATTGTATCACCTTTGAAATAGGTACTTCAGGTACCTAAAAGCCTATAAGAAATGGTTCTGAAACTGTATTGAAAAAAGTTTCTTTAGAGAACTCTAGAGACTCAACGTGAACTCACTTGTCACTGCCCTTTTCATGCCCGGTTGAGTAATGGCTCCCAGGAGTCTGAACCATAGAGTTGAGAGCGGGAAGGAGGTGACCTCACAGATATTTGCAGCACTCTCCCCTCTTGCCTTCCTTCTGTGCCCTTCTCGAGTGAGCAGAGAGCCCCAGTTCATCCCGTGCCAGGCAGTAGCAAAGTAGCCCCATTGTTTGAGTCCAAATCTATCCCCCCTTCAGCGTTTGGAAATTCAAGAAACATCAAGTGCCTGTTATGGATCAGGCACTAGAACAATCATTGCTTCTACAGGGAAGCACAGAGACTTGAAAACTGCAGCCCTGTCCTGAGACTTTGAGCTAATTCTCTTGGCTCACCCAGTGCAATATGGTTCAAGTCCCTTCCCTGTATGGATCCATTGCTTTGGCTTTTTCCTAATTTGGTTTAATAAGTAGCACTGTCCTCCCGGTTGTTCATCAGTTTGCTTGAGTGGGCGTCAGTAACGTCTCCCTTGTGAGATTTGTTGTTACTGTTTTTGGCATATCAAATATGCCAGGCTCTGCCGTGCGGGTGGGATATTCTCGGTAGCTTGCCAGGCTCTCCGAGAGGAACAGAGGAATCGAACCCAAGTCGGCCATGTGCAAGGAAAAGGCCCTACCCGCTCCAGCCCAGTGATAATTTACACTATTAAGTTTGGTTTAATAGGGAATCCATTGTTAGTAGCTTGATTTATTTTTTAGTCCTTTTTTTTCTTATACGGGTAATACGTACTTGGACATATTTTGGAAAACACAAATAAGTACAAAGTAAGAAATCACCTATAATTCCTTTACCCACTGTTAAAATATTGATATTTTTTCTTCTGGCTTTTTCTAACCTGTATTTGTAATTTTGTTTTCCGGGCTTTTTGTTTGCCATTTATCATTTTTTAAATTTTCCACTTAAAGTATTTTAAAATTCATTAGAAGTATTTAAATGGTGTTAACATATTCTAAAAAGATTCCTTCCTGGCTTCGGTAGTTTTGGGTTTACCTGTAGTAGTGATCAGGTGCTACTCCCAACTTGACTTCTGGTGGTGCTTAGGGGACCATAGGGTGGGGAATGGAACCCCAGGCCTCTCCCAAGCAAAGCATGAACTCTAGCTCATCGAGTTTTCTCTCCACCTCCAATTCTAGTCATGTTGTTAAAGATTGAGTCCTGGATTGAAGAGATAGTACGGTGGGTAGGGTGCTTGCCTTGCATGAAGCCAAATCTGAGTTTTTCCCCTAGCATCCTGTAGTACCCTGATTCTCGTCAGAAGTAATTCCTGAGTACAGAAACAGGAGTAACCCCTGAGTACACTGTGTGTGTCCCTCCCCAACCCCACCCCCAAAGAAAAGCAGAGTCTTAAGAAAAAAGTAGTGACCTTTCCACTCTGGAGAAGCCCATGTTCCCTAAACACACATATCTCTCCCCGCTCCCGTTTTGCCTTGCTAAACAAATGAAAAGAAAGAGTAGAAACTCCTTAAGTGAACTCCCCTGTTTCCTTTTGGTTGTCTCCAACCTTCTGCTGCCACTACAGGAAATAACCTAGTGCTGTTGTTGGGGGGGGCGGGGGTCAGTGCTGATACATCAGCTTCTGAAGCCCCTTCTACCTCAGATTGTTCTTAACATGCTACTTCCTGCACCCACCCCCACCTTCTTTCTTGTATCTCCTCATAACCATGCTGTGCCATTGATTAGTACGTCTGGCTGACTGTCGTTTCTCATGGCAACAGGATATCCAAGTGACATTTTCAGGACTGACTTCCTATGGGTTCAGTCTTGAGGAATCTGTTGGAACCGTTTCCGCTCGTGGGCCCGACAGAGCCCAGCCCAGCACTCACTCCTGTCCTTCGCTTGCAGGCCTCCAGCTGAACCAGAAGGCGCTGACCACTTTCCCCGACGTGGTGCTGGTTCGGGTGCCCACGCCCTCAGTGCAGTCAGACAGTGACATCACAGTCCTGCGGCACCTGGAAAAGTTGGGCTGCCGCCTGGTCAACCGCCCGCAGAGCATTTTAAACTGTATAAACAAATTCTGGACATTCCAAGAGCTGGCAGGACATGGCGTCCCCATGCCAGACACCTTCTCTTATGGTGAGTCTTCTTGAATGGGATCTGGAACTTACCTTCCCAAGCACCCTGCCTCTCTGCTTCCTCCCTTAGAAGCTTGGCATTGGTTTTCCTTACTTATACATTAAAATGGAGGTAGCATTGGTTTACACTTGTGTGGATTTCAGTGGGGGGAGGGGTTGTTGATTTTTAGATGATTTCTATTTTTCTCCTTTTGCAGGGTCTCCCAAGCAGTGCTCAGAAGATTTAGGTGTTTCCGCCTGCCCCCACCCTTCTCCCTGCCCCTCCCACACCTTCCTCAGCACCATCCCCTTAGTGATTCTGGACCAATCTGGCGAGCAGTTCAGTGCTAGGACCCAAGAATACATTGCACCTTAGGACTTGCAATAATTCCCTGGGGAATAAAAAAAACCACCCCCCAAATCTCTGTAAGCCCCAAACGCACTGCTTTGAGGCTGCAGGATTCCCATGGGGACTTGCAGGATTGCACCTGGCAATGATGCTTGGGGACCCATGTGGTTCAGGTGATCAAAATGGGGTTGGCTGGATGTAAGACAGTACTTTAACCCCTGTACTGTCTCACAGCCTTCAAGATTTTGAGTCTTTATCATGGTCATTCACTGTCCACTGTCACTGTCCTCCCGTTGTTCATCGATTTGCTCGAGCGGGCCCAGTAATGTCTCCATTGGAGACTTTGTTGTTACTGTGTTTGGCATATGGAATACATCATGGGTAGCTTGCCAGGCTCTGCTGTGCGGGCAAGATACTCTCGGTAGGTTGCTGGGCTCTCCGAGAGGGGCAGAGGAATCGAACTCAGGTCAGCCATGTTGGCTGCGTGCAAGGCAAACGCCCTACTGCTGTGCTATCGCTCCAGCCCATGGTCATTCACTCTGTCTAAAATGTCTTTGCTTCTTTCTCTCATTTATATATTTCTTAAATATGTTTGTGGTACCAGCCAACCATCATACATACTAGTCCTGGGCCAGAGCACTTAGTAAGAGAGTAGAGTATCATTTCTTTAAAGTATTCCCTGTCCATTAGAGGCAGTTCAGTGCCATGTAATAAATGTCATGGTAAGATTTGTGCATGGGGGAATAGGATACATAAGAGAACTCCTGGTAAGCATGGAAAACGTTCATAAACAGTATTGTAAATCACATACTATCAATAAAAAGTTTGTTGTTGTTATAAATAGAGCACCTATTAAGTTTAGAATGTATTGTGGAAGACTTCTTGAAAGCTACTATCCAAAGCAAGCAGATGTTGTCTATCCCTAAGCAATGAACAAGATATAGAAAGACCTAAAGGCAAGACTGATCTTACCCAGTTAGTGGCATTGAGAGCACTTTGAAGGGCTGGAGTAATAATACAGCAGGCAGGGTGCTTGCCTTTCACATGGCTGACCTGGGTGCAATCCACGTATGGTCCTCGAAGCCTGCCAGGATTGATCCCTGAATGCAGAGCCAGGAGTAGACCCAGAACACTGCCAGGTGAGACCCAAAAACAACAACAAAGAAAGAGAGTAATGGTTTATAGACCCTAAAGGAGATAGAGTTGAGATAAGATACTAGAAAGTGGGCCAGCGAGATAGGATGAGGGAAGACACTGGCCTTGCATGCAGCCAACCCCAGTTCAGCTCTACACATTGTATATGGCCTCCTGAGCGAGAAGTGCTCCCTGAGAACCACTGGGTTTGGCAAAAATAAAATAAATAAAACTAGGAAGATAAGGACTACTCATAATGCAGCATACGAAAAAGATTAGGGCTGTGCTGGAGAGAGAGGACAGTGGGCTGCATATGCGCTTTGCACACAGGACTCCAGGTTCAGACACCACCAGGAACCACCCCCTAGAACCACTGCATGTTCCTCACCCTCCCCAAAAGGAAAAAGATCAAACATAATTCTGAGATAACTGTACGTTATCAGAGAGTTTTAAGTAAGGAGGTGGACCAGTCAGAGTTCAGAGGTTTGTCTACGTTATGGAGAGGAATTGTACAGTGGTGAAGTAAAGACAAGATACGAAGTAGGAGGAGGCTTTTAAAGTCGTTTAAATGAGCTGTGGTGGCCACAACTAAGGTGGTCTTAGTAAGAATGAAGATAAGTAAACAGGAATTACGAAGGAGATAGAAATAATAGGATATGGGGATTAATTGGATGTGAGGGGTAGGGAGAACCAAGGGTGACTGTAGTTTCTGGTTTGGGCAGCTGAGTCTGGACACCCTGGGAAAGAGAGATAGCTGGGTGTGTGGCGATTGCAGTGGGACATGTTCTGATGAGGAGTCTGTGGTATCTGCAGGTAGGCACAGGAAAGTGAGTCTGTAGTTGCTGAAAGATACATAGGTGAGGGATGATTTGGAAACATCATTATGTTGAATGAAGATGACTGAATATGAAGAGAGGGCTGAACTGTACACCTAAAATAGTTAAAATGCCAACTTGATGTTATGTATATTTTCCCACAATAACAAATAAAATAGAACTGGGGAGATAGCTTAGTGGGCTGGAGATCATGCTTGGCGTGGGTTCAGTCCCTGGCATCACCTGGGCTTCTAAGCACCGCTGTGAGTGATCTCTATGCACAGAGCCTGGAGCAGCTCTCGGCACGGTCAGGTGTGGCCTCAACCTCCACCCCAACAAAACAAGAAAGTAATAATAGTAAAATTAAAGAGCGTTTAAGACAAAGCTCTCTCTCTTTTTTTAAATAGTCACCATAAAATGACGAAGTTATTCGTGATTGGGTGTCAAGCATACAGTGGAGACAAACACCACTCCCTTCACCAGTGCCCACTTCTCTCCACCAGTTCCCGCCCCACATTGCCTTCGACCCACTAGCCTGCTTCTATAGATAGATAGATAGATAGATAGATAGATAGATAGATAGATAGATAGATAGATAGACAGACTATATATAGATTTTCATATTTAACACTTTACCACCTTTCGTATCACCTTTAAGGAAAGTCTCTTTGAGTCATCAGCTACTTTTATTAAGACAGGTCTTATTAAGATTATTCAGAATTTGGGGGTTGGAGAGATACTACAACAAGTAGAGTTACCTTGCATGCATCTGACTTAGATTTGATCCCTGGCATCCCATACGATCCCCTGAGCATTGCCAGGTGTAATTCCTCAGTGCAGAGGCAGGATAACCCCTGAGCATCACCAGGTGTGACCCCAATCACCAACACCCCCCCCCCCAAAGAAAGATCACACAGAATATTTTGTTTCTGAAAAAACTGACAAATGACAAGACCACCCATGTTAGATAAATAATGGCTCTTCCCAAAGGTGTAAATCAAGGAATGTTTGTAAAATACTGGAGAGGTTGCAATGTATACCAGTATTTTTCTTCCTTCTTAATACTGAAAGAGATCGAGTGGAGCAATTCACGCTTTCAAATCAGACCTAAATTTTGGATGAGACAAAGCCTCAGGTTTGTTCTCTTTGGATATTGGGGTCAACTGCTGCATAACAGACTAAACATTGGGCTGGAGTGGTAGCTCAACTGGCTGAGCACATGTTTTGCATGTTGGCCCTGGGTTCAACCCCTAGCATTTCGTGGTCCTCTAGTGCCAAAAGCAAGCCCCGAGAACAGAGCCAGGAGTATTTTTCCAAGTACTGCCAATGTGCACCCCCCCCAAAAAAAAAACCACTAAACCTGGAGTGATTGATAACCACACCCTCTTCTGTCCCCTAGTTCCAGTGGGATTATGTGGCTTAGTCTAAGCAGCCATTAACTGCACCTGGAAGAGCTTGATATGTCTTGATGTACTTGAGCCACACGGTGCATGTCTGTTGGATTGAAGGACTTGAATGGCTTTTCATCAGAAGGAGGGACAGGACTGGGGCAGACCATCAACCTCGCCCTCACTAATTCTCACCCTTTCCTGGCAGGTGGGCATGAAGACTTTTCCAAAATGATCGATGAAGCTGAGTCCCTGGGCTATCCGGTCGTGGTGAAGAGCACGCGAGGACACCGGGGTCAGTGCTGTCCCTCCCAACCTTCCATCAGGCTGCAGCTCTGGCTGGAGATCACCCACTTCAGGCAGGGCTGAAGCAGTGCTTGGAAAACAGGGCTTTCCCTTGAGGGGCTTAACTGTAGGTGGGAGAAGTGGGTCCCACCAAAAGAAGGAGGTCTCAGGGCTGTAGCGGGTGGAGCACTAAGTGCCTTGCACACAGACGACCCATGTTCAATTCCTGGTACCCCATGCGGTCTCCTGTGCCCTGCCAGAACTGCTCCCTGAATGCAAAGGCAGGAGTAAGCTTTCGGCATAACTGGGTATGTCCCAAGCACAAACATAAAAATTGTAGATCTTAGCTCTTCTAGGGAGCTCACAAATAATGTTGCAGTTCTTTCTTTGGGCTGACTCTAGTCTGTCTCCCGAAGGTGACTTGAGGAGAGTGAGGTGCAAGGGAAATAGCTTCCAGAGAAGAGTGCAATTGCCTTCCTGTTCAGGCCCTCCTTGGTCACCCATGGAAGTGGGAGGATGGGGACAGATCGAGTTAGCTACAGGCACCTGTGTGGCATAGACACTCATATCCCACCAGCCCCACCAGACAGCCAGACTGTGCCGGAAGTCCTCTTAGTCTGTGTGGCACGGGAACAGGTCCCCACCAGGCAAATTCTCAGGGAGTCCTGAACTCTCACTGGAGCCAAGGGCTCTTTGCAGGAGAAGGAAAGTCAGCGTGAATCACCGCCCAGGTGGTCTGGGGTCTTCACTTTACAGAAAAGAATTCCAAGGGGTGACAAATTGTGAAGTAAAATTGTTATATTTAGAGAAAACTGAAGAGAAAGTTATGTATTCAGGGAAGAATGAGGGCAATCTCAAGTTCAGATGTTGTTGGTGAATCTCCACGACAAAAAAATGCACCCATTTGCCTTATAAAGATGTTTTTTGATTTGTTTTAGGTTTTTAGCCCACATCTGGCTATGCTAAGGGCATACTTCAGACTCTTATAATTAAAGATAATTATAAATAATTTTATATAATATATTATCTATATGATAGCTAATAATTTACATTATTGAATATATTATAACTTACAATATATTATGTAATTTATATTATTTAATTCCTTATTATTAAATCACCATGAGATATAGTTACAAAATTGTTCATGATTAGGTTTCAGTCATAGAATGTTCCATCACCCATCCCTTCTACAAAGATGTTTTTATACTAGGACTTTCCCCAAACTGCCCCAAGGAGGGCTCTGTTGCCAGGGTGTGGCCAAGGGGAAGAGCCTTAGACGTTTGATGATCTTTTCCAAAATCTTATCACAGGCTCTGTTCTTAAGGCCACTTTTCTCAGGGGGGGTCCACCCTTCTGTTTGGGGGGGCATACCTAGTGGTACTCAGAGCATACCTCTGTTTCTGTGCTCAGGAATCTTTCCTCAAGGGACCATAGGTGGTGCTGGGAATCTGACCAGGGTCATGTGTAAGGCAAGCATCTTAACCCCTGTACTATCTCTTCAACCCCTCTATCTGAAAGGATCAACCCTTCAATTCAACCATTCTACAAAAAGGGGAATTGGAGGGGTTTTCACTGAATCTATTGGTGGTTTGAGTAACAGTACCACCTTGACAATATTAACCCTCTAATTCCTGGAAACTTGATGTTTTTGCATTTATTCAGATGCTTCTAATTTCTTTCAAAAGTGTCTTCTAATATTTGGAATCTAAGTCTTGTACTTCTTTGGTAAAATTTAGTCCTTTTGATACTACTGTAAATTATTCTCTTAATTTTATTTTTAATAATTTCATTTTTAATAATTAAAAATTATTCTCTTCATTTTATTTTTAGATTTTTCATTGCTCATGTAAAGTAGTATCCGAGAGAAAATGGATAAAGATTAAACATGGTTAAAGAAGTTAGACCAGTATATGAAAATAAATCTAAAGAAATGAGTAGACAAGTGTGGGCTGTGCCTTTAAAACACTTACAAATCTTGTGCACCCTTATTTTCCTCATTTGTTATTCTACAGAAAATGCTGTCTTTGCCCTGCTGACTTCACAGGGCAGGTATGAAGTGCAAATGAAATTTCAAAACTACAGAATGCTTGGCACATAGGAGTAGATGATTAACGCATCTTCCTGCCTTTCTCTTCTCAACTGTTTTTCCTCCTTGCTTCCTTTCCTCAGCTCCAGACTATTACGCATCACCATGCCAGAAACCAAGTCTCAATTTTTAGCCCCCATCTCTGCTGAAATGTTCCGAGAACCCCCAGGGCCTAGAACAGAATCTCAGGCCTCTTCTGCTCTATGCCAGATTTTCAGGTGCCGCATGGCCAAACTGAGACGTGCTTGGGAGCTTATTCGTCAGCCCCAGCAGGAGACCCATCACTATATTAATTAAGACTTCAGGAAGCTCCCATTCCTTTTAAAGCGATCACATAAGTCTTAGAAAACCATCTCTTTTATATAGTTGCAAGCTATACTACATTGGGGCATTTGCAGAGCAGGCCTTTTGGGAATTCCTCCTCAGGTCTGCTAGCCCATGCACAAATGCAGAAGCAGATGTTAATTGAAAAAATAAATTTAAAAAAAAAACATAGATGACTCCAGCAGAAAGTAGAGAATTTGGACTCAAGCAAGAATTCCCTTCTCTATCTGAGCTGCCTTTACCCCTACTGGCTGCAGCTGGCCTCCAAGCCATGGAGTAAACCTCCTGGTACTTATCTCTGCTATTCTTGGGTGTTCACTTATCACTTAATCACTTAACTTCCCGTTAGTCATCGAATTGTTCGAGCGGGCGCCAGCAACGTCTCCATTTGACCCTGTCACGTGCTAGTGTAGCCCAATGGCATCTGTTCGCTCTGGGAACATGAAGAGCCTCAAACCGATCGTTCATGATCTTGACGAAGAAGTCTGACCATCTGGTAGGTGGGCGGCCACGCGGTCTTTTGACATCCCGTGGAATCCAGTCCATAACAGCTCTAGTCCAGCGATCATCTTTAAATCTCATTACGTGACCATCCCATCTGATTTTTGACACCTTGGCAAATGAGACAGCGTCCCTGATTCTTGATGGTCGACGGAGGTCGGAACTCCGGATTCTTTCTCTCATTTGAGTGAAATGTGATATTCCAAGCATAGCTCTTTCAATTCCTCTTTGGGAGACCCGAATAGCATTCTCATCCTGTTTGCGTAGGGCCCAGGTCTCTGAGGCATATGTTAATGCAGGAAGAACAGTGGAATCAAAGAGATGTGCCTGGAGCCGGAGGTTCTTCATCCTCTTAGCTATTTCTTCGACATTCTTGAAGGCATTCCAAGCCGCTCTCTTCCTCCTGCGTAGCTCGGGTGCCAGGTCATTTGTCATGTTGACTTCTCGACCTAGGTACACATAGCTGTTGCATTCGGAGATGGTCTTTCTGTTGAGAGAAAATGGGGCATCAGGAACGAGGCTGTTTCTCATAAACATTGTCTTCGTAAGATTCAGCTGTAGTCCTACCTTTCCACACTCACGGTCAAAGTCGGCCAGCATTTGTGCCACTTGGCTGATGTTTGATGTTATTAAAACAATGTCATCAGCAAAGCGGAGGTGGTGTAGTTGCCGACCATCTATCTTCACTCCCATCCCTTCCCATTCCAGTCGTCGCATGATGTTCTCGAGGGTGGCACTGAAGAGTTTCGGTGAAATGGTATCACCCTGCCGAACCCCTCTCTTGACATCAATGATTACTTCTTTGTAGAATGGTGAGATCCTGGTAGTGAATCCACAATAGAGCTCATGGAGGATCTTGATGTATTGTGCTTGAATGCCCTGATTGGCTAGGGCTTCAGTGACCGCTTCCATCTCAACAGAATCAAAGGCCTTCTTTAAATCAATGAACTTTAGACAGAACGGCATCTTGAACTCCCGAGAAACCTCAATGAGCTTGGTTATCCTGTGGATATGGTCGATGGTGCTGAATCCTTTGCGGAACCCGGCTTGCTCGCATGGTTGTCCTTCATCTAGTGTTCTGCCAATCCTATTTAGGATGACTCAAGTGAACAACTTGTAGATGACAGACAATAGGCAGATCGGGTGATAGTTGCCAATGTCATGGATGTCTCCCTTCTTGAACAGTAGTACGGTCCTGCTGGTTTTTCATTGGGACGGAACCTTGCATTCAGACAGGTAGCGTGTGAAGAGCCGAGCCAGTGTATTGATGAGTACTGATGGCAGGTTCTTCAGGTGTTCAGGTCTGACCTTGTCTGGGCCGGGTGCTGTTTGTTTCTTTACCGACGAAATGGCATGTCGGATTTCAGAAGGGAGAAAGTTGGGAACGACATATCCATCCTGTGGGATTTGGTATGTCGGCAAGTGGACAGGGCTATCGAAGAGATTTGAGTAGAAGTCATGGATAATCTTCTCCATTGCCATTCTGGAGGATGTGATGGATCCATCAGGACGTTGGAGGGCAGTCATCTTGGTCTTGTAGTTGGCAAAGGACAGGCGGGCATTACGAATACTTTTCCCGGTTTCTGCCGCATCTACCAGCACTTCTGCTCTTCTCTCTTTGAGGTCTTCCTTGATCGCATCTCTGCACTGCTTTGCGAGCTCGGACGTTAGCTTGCGGTTGCCTGAGGCATGCGCCAAACCACGCAGGCGAATAAGCTCAAGAGTTTTCGAAGACAGGCGTTTTTTTGTGGCTATCTCTCTCTTGGCGTTCCTCGCACATTCATAGAGGTGCTGTACCAGTCGATCGTATTCCTCGTCAATGTTGTCAACAATGGCATCTTCCCATGTTGCCGCAATAGTGCCAAAGAGCTCCCAGTTGGTGGTCGTTCTGGGAGTTCTCTTTTTAAAGTTTGCAGCCCTTTCCCCCTGCTCTGTGAAGTAGAATTTTGCATGAAGGAGACGGTGGTCCGATCCCGTTTGGAATTTTGGGACAACAGCGACATGGGTCAGGCAAAACCATCGATTGAATATGATGTGGTCTATTTCGTTGTGGAATCGTCCACCGGGAGACTCCCATGTCCAACGTTTTGATTCTGCCTTCTGGAACTGTGAGTTACCATGGATGGTCTTGGTCAACATGATGAACTCAGACAGTCTCTCACCCTGTTCGTTCCATTCTAGGCCATGGGTCCCGATGTGAAGTTCTTCAGCTGATCTTCTCGGTCCTATCTTGGCATTAAAATCACCCACAATGATCTTGTAGAAGGTGTGGTCTTCTTTATAGGACTTCTCCAGCTCCATGTAGAACTTCTCAATTTCTCTTTCATCATAATGAGATGTTGGTGCGTAGACAACGAAGATAGAAACTGCAGGCAGTGAGCCACATCTATTCAAATGTAAATGTCTTGGGTGCTAGTCTCCTATTTTGTTACTTTATGTTCCCCGGGCTAATGGGTACTCCATCATTGTATAACTGAAACCCAAGCACAAAAACGCCTAAGTCTACAACTGTACCTCATGGTGTGTCACTAATAAAAATTTTTTAAAAAATTCTGAAAAAAATAAATAAATAGAAAAAAAAAAGAATTCCCTCCCCCCCGCACCAGAGATCAATAGAGATCATTCCTGGTAGAATTACAGGTATAGCCAACAAACATAGGATTACTGTTAGGACAGACTAACAAAGACTAACACTAACTCTGGTAGTGACCCTCTTTGAACCCTTTTAAACTATAAAAATACTTTTATAATATTTTGTAAAGCCTCGCAGTGCATGTCATGCTGTGCTATAATTGTCTTTCGAGGTCTTTTTTGAGCTATACTTGGAATTCCTCTGGAGTATAAACTATTGATTATGGTCTGAAAACATTGCTTGATTCTAGCTTGGTATATCAAGTCACGTGTGAGGTTTGGGGAATTAACAAATGAGTTAGAGCCTGCCTGATCATTATCCTTGCGGTGATAGGAGATGAAAACTAATGGACTTCAAAGCCAAATTGACTAGATTCTTTGAGTTTTATTTTGACTTCTTTGTGTTATTTACTTTTGAAAGGGAGTGGTATTGGAAGGAACAAGTGTATATTATTAAATATCTTTTGTTTTTGAGGGGGGAGGGACAGACACTTGGAAATACTCAGGAGTTACTCCTGTCTCCACACTTGGGAATTACTCCTGGTGGTGCTGTGGAACTCTGTGGGTTGCCAGAAATTGAACCTGGATCAGCCACGTGCAAGGCAAGTGTCTTACCCACTGTACTATCTCTCTTGCCCCATGGGTTATTAAAACCTTAGAAAAAACCAAGAGAAAATAGGGTCACTGATGTCTATTGGATCAGAGAGTCTCATTAGGTAATTGGACCAAACTCTTTGAAGAGAGCGAAAAGAACAGGTGACGGTGGGGGAAAGGGCGATGGGCCGCAGAGTTCTCACTTCTCCAATTGTTGCTCTCACTCTTTGTCTCCTTAAAGGAAAAGCTGTTTTCCTGGCGAGAGATAAACACCACCTCTCCGACATCTGTCATCTGATCCGCCACGATGTGCCCTACCTGTTCCAGAAATACGTGAAGGAGTCCCACGGCAAAGACATCCGGGTGGTGGTGGTCGGGGGGCAGGTGATCGGCTCCATGCTTCGCTGCTCCACAGATGGCCGGATGCAGAGTAACTGCTCTCTTGGTAAGGAGAGAGGCTCAGATTGTGGGGCATCAGGGACCAGCCCTGGGGCTTTTCACTCGGATGTCGAGGAGGCCACTCTGCTTCTGTGAGGCTCTCTGCTAGCTTCTCAGATCCCTGGATGGCACGAGGGGCCCAAAGCTGAATTAGAAACAGCGCTCGCCTTTACCAGCACACAGACCGGAAGGGGACAGCTGGTGATGGGTGCTGTGATGGAGATGGGTCAGGGCACTGAGCGCTGAACCCTGTCCTGCAGGAGCAGAACTGAGTGGTCAGGACAAATGCAGAGGCTGACGCAAGGATCCGTGTTTGAGAGGAGCTTGTGTCTGGGTGGAGAGCGAATTGAAGACCTAGATGGGGTAGGGGGACAGAAAACTGCAGTTGCTGGGCAGGAATAAGGAGGGGCTGCAAGAGTGTGATGGATGGCAGGAGGCAGTGCCTGTCCCGCCATGACATTATAATTGCAGGCTGTGCAGTGATGTCTCGTCTACATAAAATGTGTCAGGACCCGTCTTTCCCAAAGTAGACAATCGCTCCCTGGAATGAGGTGCCGCGTGGGTGGGACTAGTCTCAGTGCTAATGGGGGGGAGGGGAGGACATTTTCTTTTTCTTTTTTTTTTATAATTTTATTTATTTATTTTTATCTTCTTATATTTATTTATTGAATCACTGTGGGAAAAGTTACTAAGCTTTCAGGTTTAAGTCTCAGTCATACATTGATCAAATACCTCTCCCTTCACCAGTACTCATTTTTCACCACCAAGAACCTCAATATAGCCCCCTCCCACCCCTCCCAATGCCTGTGAGGCAGATGATTTCCACTTAACTCTTCTCTACATTGATTACATTCACTGTTTAGACAAAAGATGCACCATTATTACTTAGAATTCCCCCCCCCCCCCCGCAGCAATCAGAATTGCTGAAAAGGCATTGTGAAATACTTTGTTTTCTATAGCTGGTTATGAGAATCATATAATCTCACATGGCCACAATAGCGGCCTCGCGATTTTGGATTTCTGCAAAGAACCAGATAATTACGAGATTGGTTTCTGTACATCTGGTGTTATGGCTGTGCTGGAGAGCCACTTGTGGGGGGCAACTCATGACCTCAGTAGGGGGTGAAGGACAAGCTAGTACCGCCTCCCTTCCCATGAGACTGCAGTTGCCCCATCACTGCTGGCTTATACCTGGCTTTCCAATAAGCTCTGAGGCAGCGGCCACCTTGCTGCCAGGCAGGAAAAAGGCGGAAGGGAGCAACAGCCTTTCCCTCCTGGGGAGGCATGGTGCCATAGCTTAACGCATGGTCCATTCACTTTTCTGCTGCAAGCTGCTGGGCTTTGGACTAAGTCCTTTTGCCTCTGGAGCCATGGCCGTGCCAGAGAGCCACTTGTGGGGGGCCAACTTGTGACCTCTGTAAGGCAAGAAGGACAAGCCGGTACCGTCCCCCTTCCCATGAGACTGCAGTTGTCCCGTCACTGCCCACTCAGACCTGGCTTTCCAATAAGCGTGGAGGCGGGGGCCACCTTGCTGCCAGGAGGGAAAAAGGCGGACGGGAGCAACACCCTTTCCCTCCCAGGGAGACATGGCGCCGTAGTTTAACACATGGTCCATTCACTTTTCTGCCGCAAGCTGCTGGGCTCTGGATTAAGTCCTTTTGCCTCTGGAGCCATGGCTGTGCTGGAGAGCCGCTCGTGGGGGGCAACTCATGACCTCGGTAGGGCATGAAGGACGAGCCATTACTGCCCCGGAAGGGCATTTTCTTGTTCACTTAAAGAGGAGGGTTTCCATGGAGCCAAAAAGATAGTATAGCAGATAAAGTGCGTGCCCTGCACATACCTGAGCCAGGTTTGGTAACCTGGATGGTCCCCAAACTCACCAGTAGTAATTGCCTGAGTACAGTCAGGTATGGCCCAAAACCAAAAAGTTAAAATTTTGTTTTGAAAAGTTAAGTAGGGGGGTTGGAGCAATAGCACAGCGGGTAGGGCGTTTGCCTTGCACGCAGCCGACCCAGGATTGATTCCAGCACCCCCTATGTTCCCCCGAGCACCGTCAGGAGTAATTCCTGAGTGCGTGAGCCAGGAGGAACCCCTGTGCATCAACAGGTGTGACCCAAAAAGAAAAAAAATATAAGTTATGTAGGTGGGTTTCCATGTGATGCTGGGGCACATTATTTTTTTCAACTTTCTGGAAAAGGGCTGTAGACCAGATTGGTTTGGGAACCACTAGGATTAGAATTTAAATTATGTGCTCTTACCACAATTTTACAATTAAAAACAACTTTTTTAAAAATTCCAAACAGAGATGTCAAAGTGCCAGAAACTAGAATTTTTAAAAAATTAAGTGTGGGGGCCTGAATGAGAGAACAACGGGCAGGGTGTTTGCTGTGCACAAGGCTAACCCAGGCTTGATCGCCAGCACCCCATATGGTCTCCTGAGCCTGCCAGGAGTGATCCCTGAGCACGGAGCCAGGAATAACCCCTGAGCATTACCAAATATGGCTCTAAAACAAAACTAACCGAAAAGAGAAATCTGTCTTTTGAAATTTTATCAGAGGGGGAAATTACAGAAAGAATGCCTGATGAGTGTTCGCAAAAGTTATTTGACTCTTCCAAAAGAAGACAAAGAAGGTAGAAATATGTGGGGCCGGAGAGAGAGTACAGGAGGTCTAGCCCTTGCCTTGCATCCCGCTGGCCCCAGTTCAAAGCCCTGGCACCACAAATGGTCCCTCGAGCTCGGCCAGAGGTAACTCCTGATACAGAGTACTGCGCACTGAGGAAGCCCCTGAGCACAGTCAGATGTGGCCCCTCTCCATCTCCAATAAAGGAATATGTAGTTGATAGGACAACTAATAGTCCATAGTAGTTTTTACAATGTAAATAATGTAAATTACAATGTAAATAATTATAAAATAATTACAATGTGAGAGCCCGGCAAGCTACCGAGAGTATTCATATGCCAGACACAGTAACAACAAAGTCTCCAATGGAGACGTTACTGGGCCCGCTGGAGCAATTACAATGTAAATGTAACAGATCATTCTTTTTATTGTTATTTTTGTGTGTGTGCTGTACCTTGCAGTGTTTCAGGGCTATTCCTGGCTCAGTGCTCAGGGGTCACTCCGAGCAACGTTCCAGGGACCAGGAGGTGCTGGGGATTGGACCCTCCTGCATATAAAGTATATAAAGCATACTCAGCCTGTTGTGCTATCTCTCCAGCCCTCAAACAATGCATTTAAATGGAATACAATTATAATTAACCCAAAGAAAATTGATTTTTCCTCCATATGTGGTGGTACTAGAAAGCTGCTATTTATGTTTGGGTCAGATACTAATAACCCTATCCTTTAAAACTCTAGATGAAATTTGGGTTCTGTTTGGGTAAATGGAGATATTCTAGGAAGAATAGAAATTCTTGTCCCCATCACAGGAATCTGCTACTGTGAACCATCTCGACTAAATTTGTATGTTGGTGATATGAAAAAAATTACAATGACGATCATTTTCAAAATCACCACATGAGCATGTCATGACAATTTAGTGAGCCGTGGAAAGGCTTGACACATCACTTTGGTTCTTCTGCGAACACTGGGTGAACAGTTTCTTGAAACAGACTCCATGCTAGTTGTTGGGAGTGTAGCAGTTCATGGATGAGTCGGTGCCTTTGGGCAGCTTTATGGTCCGTCCAGCAAAATAGACACAGCAGATCAGTGTGAGAGACTGTGAGGCCGGGTGTGGAAGAGGCAAACATCCACTGCAGATAGACATGTTCCCCTATAACCATGTGCTGTTCTGTGGTATTGAGCTCTACATTTCAACATTTTGTCTTCTATAGTCACCTTACAGAGAATCTGGTTTTTTTTTTTAATTTATTTTATTTTGACCTTCTAAAAGGAGTCGCCCCTGGCAGTGCTGGCCCTGGGAAGTAGCCAGAGCCTCTGCCAGCGATGTTCTGCCCCACAATGCAGAGGGCCACCAGGCCTACCGAGTGGCATCTGAGGGCCAAGCCCAGCTGAGGGGGCAAGTTCAGGACCTCACAAATGCTACACTTGTGCTCGAACACTTGAACTATCTCCTTAGTCCCCAGAATTCAGGATTAACTAGGAGTCACCCATTCTATAATTTATCTGTGTTGCTATTTTGGGCAAGGGGCTGCTATTTAAAGCTGTTTTATGGCTGTTTCCTTATACAATGTGATGAGTATAGAGAAAAAAGGTAAAGACATTAGCTATTGGACCTGAGAATATGAGTTGTAAATCTTTCCAGGGAGACTAAAGCGCAAGAAATAAGTCAGAGTCGAAGTTCTCCAACAAGTCAGGCCAGACTTAGGTAGGATTTTATCTCAAGCTTCTCTTCTTAAAAAATCATTTTCATTTTGCTAATTATAAAACAGTCAAAGTAGAAAAATTGGGAAAGAGAGAAGAGCAAAATGAAAAAACACATTTATCATTAATTACCCTTCAGAGACAACCAATATTAAAATTTTGGTATTAGTACCTCAGTGCAGTAGGCAACATATTCATCATGTAAAAAAATTGATAGCATTTTTTTCTGACTATTAAAATCAGTCATAGTGAGCAGTCTTATAATACTTACGATACTTCTTATGGGTTTACAGACTTTCTGAGAGAATCACTATTAGTGATTATAAAAAAAAACACACACACTTTGTATGGGCCAGAGAGATAGCATAGGGGTAAGGCACAGGCCTTCCATGTGGCCAACCCTAGTTCCATCCCCAGCACAGCAGGCGTGACTTCTGAGCACTACTGAGGTGACCCAAAGCCACACCCTCCCCCCATACTCTTCCCTTTTACTGTGAGATATTAGATTCTAATGTTTTATTTATCCACCACTGCACTGTACTGCACTGTCCTCCCGTTGTTCATCGATTTGCTCGAGTGGGACCAGTAACGTCTCCATCATGAGAGTTGTTGTTACTGTGTTTGGCATATCGAATACATCACGGGGAGCTTGCCAGGCTCTGCCACTTATCCACCAATGGGTACTTATTGGGTGCCTCACTGTGTACCAAACCTATAATATCCAGTATTTTTTGTTTGCTTCTTTGTTTCTTTGGGGCCACACCCAGTAATGTCAGGGCTTACTCCTGACTCTGTGCTCCAGGTCACTCCTGGTGGGCTCAGGGAACTATGTGGGGTGCCAGGTTGGTCGCCTGACAGCCAAGTGCCCAACCCACTGTACTATTGCTGTGGTCCCAAATATCCAGTGTTTTAAACAACTGCCATCAACATCTTTAAGCACAAAGCTTTTAATTTTATTCTTGGGGAGGGGAGGCTTTGGGGGGGAATGTTTAGACCACGCCTAGGGTGCTCAGGGGCTAATCCTGATTCTGTGATCAAGCTGGATCCCTGATGGTACTCAGGTAATAGGATGTGATGCTGGGGATTAGATCTGGGTCAGCCACACGCAAGGCAAGCACCTTCCCTCCTGTACTATTTCTCCAGTGCTTCTTTTAAAATAAGGTTGTCCATGTCAGTGCTTGGGAGGGGGCCGGTGGTTCTGGAGATTGAACTCAGGCCTCCTGCATATGAAGCATGACTCCATCCCTCTAAGCTGTGTCCCCGGCCCATAAAGCTCTGATTGGTCCATTATGTCAGGGTCAGAAGACCGAAGCATGCGAGAGCTTCTAAAGAAGAAGCAACCACCTTGCTTTCCCAGAGATGGTCCCATTTTCCATCCAGACCTGAGTGCAGTACCTCAGTGCCCCTCCCGGCCATCCCTCCCCTCCCTGCCCCACTCCCGTTTCCTCCGAAGCATTTCATGTCCCTGTGCTCTCCCCACAGGTGGCGTGGGTGTCATGTGCCCGCTGACAGAGCAAGGCAAGCAGCTGGCCATTCAGGTGTCCAACATCCTGGGCATGGACTTTTGTGGCATTGATCTCCTCATCATGGATGATGGCTCCTTTGTGGTGTGTGAAGCCAACGCCAACGTGGGTTTCCTGGCCTTTGACCAGGCGTGCAACTTAGATGTGGGTGGAATCATTGCTGACTACACCATGTCCCTGCTGCCCAGCAGGCAGATGGGGAAGCTGGCCGCCCTCCCTGGGCTGGCCAGTCCCAGGGAGCAGAACGAGGCAGACGGCTGTGCTTCAGCTCAGGGAGTTGCAGAAGGCGTCTACACCACCAACGGTGGGTCTACCTCTAGTGAGAGTGAGCCCGAACTGGCAGAAATCCGGGATTCCGCAGCCAGCACCACGGGGGCTACCCTGCCCAGGCTGCCCGAGCCCGGCTACAACATTAACAACAGGATTGCTTCCGAATTAAAACTTAAGTGAATTCCTGCTTTGTTGGCAGCATTGAAACCAAATCCTCCTGCTTCCTTAGTAGTTTCAAGTGAATCAAATCTGGACTGATGTGATTTCATTTGCACAGAAAACCAGAAATCCCACCTGGGCATTCAGCTTTCTTTCTAATGATGATTTAAGCAAATGGCTTGGCTGTGTGGTTTTTACAAAGACAAATCGAAAGGCACCCGGAAGAGCGATCCCAACTGATCCATTTGAGACCAGTATCTGCTGCGAGCACTCGAATATTATGGGCTGGGGTTGCTGCTCTGACTCGGTGGCACTGCTTCTGGCTCTGAGCAGTGGTGCCCAGGAACTCAGACAGGCTTCTGGAAATCCTAGACTCTAAATCAATCATCACCTGGAGATGTGTGCAGAAGAGGGGGGATGTGACTGCAATTATGAGAGAGAGTGTGTGCTTGTGTGCGTGTGATGCTTAGAGAATACATAGTCCAAACACCCTTAGAGGATCAATCTCTCCTCCTCATCAATCACCCTGTTTCTCTGGCACTCAGGAGATAGTGTTGCGGGAGTTTCCTCATTAGCATTCGTAGTGAAGCACTTTGTAGGAAATGAGATCGAATAGTCTGGTTGATCCGTATCTGACTCTGGGACAAGGACTTTCTACTAATAGCCGATTTGCGTTTAGAGACTTGATTCCACTAATGTCAGTCGCCAGCAACCTCTTGCACCTTTGCTGCCTTTGGCCTCAGCTGGAAATGCTCTTCAGTGAGCTAGTGGCTCCACAATTTCTTTCTTAAGCATGCACTAAAATCAAACACCAGGGACTTCCTTTTCCATGGACTCTGTTCATTTGTCATACAGAAGCATATATCACAAATCACAACCATCCTGTTTTTCGTCGATTGCCTCGAGCAAGCCCCAGTAACGTCTCCTTCGTCCTAGCCCTGAGATTTTTCTAAAAAGTGCCATATTCAAGGCTCTTTCAGAGTTAGGAGAATGAGACCGTTCACTGTTACTGGTATTTGGCATATTAGGTATGCCACGGGGAGTTTGCCAGACTCTGCCGTGTAGGCAGGTTACATTCAGTAGCCTGCCAGTTTGTCGAAAGTAGGAATGAGATGATGAGATGAAGCCGATATGTTGGTTGTTGTTTTTTTTTAATCATAGAATACCTACTAGAAGATAATAATTTCTCTCCTTCATAGAAACTTCGTATATTCTTCAGCTGCTGTGTAGATTGAAGCCATTGAAATCACAATCTAATCCCCTTGATATTGGAGTCTTATCCAGATTCCGGAGACCTGTTCTTGCCCACTTTTCTAGGCCGGGAGACTCAGGTCTCAGGAATCACTCATTGCACTTGCAGGGAGGGGAAATATAGACATGACAACAAGTGCTTTTCATTTTAACTCTTAGAGCAGTAAGATGATCCTTCCATTAGTATAAGTCATGGAGAGGGAATGTCCCATCTCTTCTTATTTGAAGAACGACCTAATGTTAGCAAGGATACCTTTTTAACCAAATACTCTAAAATACACACACTCAAGGGTTACTCTTATCGAGACTATTTCCTCAGAAGCTGTACTCTTGAGCTGTGGTGTTGCATGTGCCAAGAACACTTAGACTTCCTTTTTGAATTTACCTCTGAAGCCATTCAAGGGAAGAAGCCTCACAACCTCACAGTCGGATCTTGCTTTCCACATCATCCCTCCCCAGAGGTAGACAGTCCCAAACACCGTCACCTAGTTATCAGATTTATTTTTCTAATGCTGTTTGACTGTTAACAACATCCTTCCTCAAAAAAAGCAAATCTGTTCTTAAAGGAACAAGACTCACCAGCCTTGGGAAAGCTCCCAGAGATGGTTCCCAAGGAGGGGTCAGCAGTGTTCAGCACCACTGAACTCAACGTGTATCTTTCCAAGGTAACTACTTTGATGGCAGTAACACCCATTTGCATGTATAAATTCCTGTAATGATCTACTATAAATGTACGGTGTGTGTAAAGTCAAACTACTTTCTTTCTGCCCCCAACATATTTAAATAGAAATCAGCTCTTTAAATATCTGTGACTAGGATCAGATCTCAAAGTTAAAACTGTTCCTTTGAAGAGATCTGTGCCATGTCATGGAGATAGATACCACATAGGACACTGGTCTAAGTGCAGCCCAGTATCAGGTACATGTCTTGTCACGGGTCTCAAACACCTGGAAAGTGATCAGCTTCACCTTCCTATCTACATGTACTGCTCAGGGTAGGCATAGAATAAAAGATCATTCTCAATGGAGTTTGCTAGATTCTCTCCGCACAAACATCTTGGTTAAGTGATGCCATTCTGGAAGCCGTGTTTACTTATTCCCACTGTTAGTGAAATCTCAGCCTCCTTCCCCCGATCCATTTCATCTAAAAAGATGCTTGTGGACCCATTTAATCTAAAAAGATGCTAGTGGACCCACTAGTGGATCCCACTAGTGGCAGTTCTAGTGGGCTGCTGAAGACTGCTTTTAGACTTAGAGTGAGAATTCATTTTCCAGCCATTGGTGACTTCTGTAGTCAGCGGATCACCCCTTGGAACCTGCCTGGCGGGAGAGGCCTGGATCACAGAAGGATCAGAGCCCCTCCAGGGTTTCCACTGCCGGTGTGGACCATGCCAGCCTCAGTCAGGCAGACAAGCCATATGCATCAGAGCTGCCCACAATGCCTGCTGGGAGGAACATGAGACGTGTAGACCTGTAGACCTCAATTCTGGTCCTGGTTCTTTCTTTAAACAACTAGTTGGGTTTGTGCAATCCAGTGAACTTGGTTTTCCCATGTCCCCATCCTTGAAGGTGAAGGAGATACCTATTCTGGTGGTCATTCCTGGAGGTGCTTTGTAGTTGAAAAGAGTTCAAGAGACTGTAGTGTGTGTGTGTGTGTGTGTGTGTGTGTGTGTGTGTGTGTGTGTGTTGGCAGGCAAGAAGGGGTTGTGAAGAACCACTCCTACATCTGGTTTTATAACCATTTCCTATCCCCCCCTCCTCTGAGAGGATAAAGAAAAAGGCCAAGAATTCTTGGCATTATTATGCTAAATAGTGGTGAGAAGTCTGGGAAAGGATGCCAGATTCTCAGAGACCTGGCCAGAGAGGAGCAAGGCACAATGTGTATTCAAACACCTTCTGATATATCACAGAGACCTGAAACTCTTGATTCCTGTGCTAATGGACCGTCCTCTTATGTAACATGATTTGCAGAGTCTATATACAGCCTTCCCATTACCTGGTCATTGCATCTTGAAACTGGTTGAAACTTGAATACTAGTAGCACAGTCATTCAGAATACATATGATTCTGCGAATCACAAATCACGACCATCCTGTTATTCGTCGATTGCCTCGAGCAGGCCCCAGTAACCTCTCCTTCATCCTAGCCTTGAGATTATATTCAAGGCTCTTTAGGAGAATGAGACCCATTATTGTTACTGGTATTTGGCATATTGGGTATGCCATGGGGAGTTTGCCAGACTCTGCCATGTGGGCAGGCTACATTCGGTAGCCTGCCAGTTTGTCCAAAGTAGGAATAAGATAATAAGATGTCATAAAAGATGTCACGCGGCCGCAAATGTGGCCGCGCGGTTCCGGGAGCTGGTTTTTATAGTCTCTGATATGATTCTGCACTTGGGGAAAATGTCTTCATGTTATCCTCTGATTGCTGAGGAGTTTGGGTTGCCAGAATCCATGATTGGGGGAGAGAGGGGCAGACTTTAGGTCTTTTGTATGTGATAAACAATCTACGTGGATCAGAAGTACATTGCCATCGACTCAGAAGGGGTACCACAACAGGAAGGGGTGAGCAGGATAGGGAAAGATAAAATTGTGGAAGGATTTATGACATTTCAGTGGCAGTTCTAGTGGGGAAAAAAGAATCAATGGTTCTTTTGTGAGTTTTCATGAAAGAACTATGATTATATTGGTTCAGAGGAAGGGGTCTCTGAAACTGTTCTGTATAAACATAAGGAGATGTATAAATTTCTATATACCTCAGAGGAAGAGGCCAAGATCAATTCCTTGTAAATGCTAGTCCTGCAAACATTCTGAAGATTGAAATAGCTAACTGGGAATTCCAGGATCACCCATGAAACAATTAGCCCTACAGGGAGAAAAGATTGTAATTCCTAGTGAGCAAGCCTAGAGCCATGGCTCCCTCAGGTTGGTTTATGGAGCCGTGTTGGAGTGTGAATCCCTAAGCTATAAAACAAGACATTCCAACTTCATACCTTCACTTCCAAGTTACCCTTTTGTCCTGAAGATGAGGCTCCTGCTTGCTGTCAGTCTATGCAGATGCTTTGGGAACAGCCTTGACGACATTTTTGTTACTGTCCCTCGAACATGGTGTCCTTAGATCTGTCACTGTAGCCAGATGAAAGACTGGTGCTGTTTTTGACTGCCGGAAACTCATGGCTTTTGTTGTGGTGGTGATGTTTTTTTTTTTTAAGGCAACATGGTTTATAGTACTGATAATGGCAGGGTTTCATGTATCACATAGTCCCTTACCACACCCGCCTCAAAGTGTCCACTTCCCTCATTTTGCTCTGTATCCCCCACTCCTCCCCATCCTATACTATCACTTTCCTCATCCTTCCATAGCAAGCTTCACACTGAGGACCAGTTCTTGGTTTCTGTTGCCTTTGGGAATTTGTTATTCTCCTGCTATGTGTCTTTGTCTCCCACATATGAAAGATCATTCTGTGTCTGGCCCTCTCCTGACTAACTTCACTCCACATGATACTCTCCAGATCTCCAACCCTGAAGCAGCAGATTGCATGATTTCATCTTTTCTTGGAGCCTAGTAATATTTCGCTGTATATATGTGCCAGAGTTTCCTTACCCAATCATCTGTTCTTTGACACTTGAATGGTTTCCATAATTTGGCTACTGTGAACAGTGCTATAATGAACAATTAAATGCAAATGTCTTTTCTGGGGGGCTCTTAGGATAGATGCCAAGGAAATTGCTGTGTCATACAAGGAGCTCAATTCCTTGTGTTTTTGAGTAATGTTCATATTGTTTTTCAAAAGGGCCTAAAAGACAAGCCTTCTTTTTTTGTTTCCTTTTTGGGTTACACCCGGCAATGCACAGGGGTTACTCCTGGCTCTGCACTCAGGAATCACTCCTGGTGGTGCTTAGGGGACCATATGGGATGCTGGGAATTGAACCTGAGTCGACCGCATGCAAGGCAAACGCCCTTCCCACTGTACTATCGCTCCAGACCCCAAGACAAGCCTTCTTTTAATGTTTTCTTAAAATACAGAAACAGAGATTTCCACTCTAAGTCTATGACTAGACTCCATCACTATCTCTTCCAAAACTCACATAGCTACGTATACAAACATTCTTCTTTTAACTTTTGTTAACTTCTTTCTTGAGGCTTGATTCTGGACCCAACATTTTTGTGTTTCATGTTCACTGGAGCTCCGAGCTAACACTAAGAAAGTCATGTACAATGCTAGATTTGAGGCCCCAGGGATAGCAACCCTTTGGAACCCAGTACAGCCCCCATTTGATAGCTGGGGATCCATAAAACTGGGGTGATTTAGCAAGTCAGCAGCGAGGCTGGGATGCAGGCTGCCTGGCTGCCTGTTTGTTCAGTTGAGCCTCCTGACAGAGGCTCTCCATCCATGCTGCGTGCTGGACCCACCGTGACCATCCCCCTTCTGCTGTGCCTCTGCTCTGGAGCGGACCGCTGTTGTTCTGGCTGTGGAAAGTTCCATCCTCTAAGGTGAGAAGCCTGAAGGTCTATCTGAGGTCTCCAGTACAAGATGGCTCGGGGCTTGTGCTGCCTTCTACAGAGCAGCCAAAACCACAGCTTCACCTCTCACTGCCTGCAAAGGACTTGGAGGTCCCAAACTTTTTCACCTCAGGTGTACTTGAAGGAATCCTAATTGATTAACATGTTTCAGGAGCAATCAACCACAAAGCCAAAAGCGCCCTCCTCTTCTGTTTCACAGGGCACCCCTTTAGTGCAGTCTTCCTGTCAGGGCCCAGATGCCAGCTGAGGGCTCCTCCTGGCCTCCTCACCCTTTCCTCAGCCAAACAAGGGAGAGCTCTGTGCTCCAGTTCCTGGGCCTCGGGTCCACATGGTTTCTAAGAGGCTTTATATTTCTGCAGTTGCTGCTGACTGCAAGCTTCTGCTAGCTTATTTATTGTAAGTGGCATCTCTTCTCTGTGGCCACTGAGACATGATGTTCCGATCATGCTCGACTTCCACTTATGCCAAGACGCAAATGAGTTTGTGTGGGACTGTCTGCTTCGGTGATGTCAGAAGAAGACACCGGGCAAGGCAGACAGACCCCCTGTTCATAAGGACCCACACATACCACAGAGAGCGCCCCCCACCCCATGGTGCCTGTCTCCCCTATTGAGACATGCTGATCCCATTTGTTTTCATGCCCAGCTGTCTATCGACTCTTTCTGTTTGATTCCTATAATGCCCTCACCTCCAAGATTTTAAAAATTTGTTTGGGGGCCACACCCCAGTGTTGCTCAGGGCTTACTCCTGGCTCTGCACTTAGGGGTCACTCCTGTCAGAACCGGGGACTGAATTCAGGTCTGCCACATGCAAGGCAAGTGCCTTAGCTGCAGTATTCTCTCTCTCTCTCTCTAGCCCCCTATATTCACCTCCAAGATTTGACCACCTACCACCGGTGGCTTATTCAAGGCATTTTCCACAACAAACATGGCTTCCTCCTCAAGAGCCACTTGAACGCCATCTTTCTCTACTCTATGTGATTATTTGGATTGAGACAGTGTTGGCTTATGACATGTGGCAAGGCATGCAGGTGCATTCAAGTGAATATCACCACACCACACTCACCACCAAGACAACAATGACACTTCGTGGTCCCCTGAATCAAGTGCCATTTTTTTATCCCTACTTGCCGGCCACTTATCACCACCACATTCACATTCAGTTGTCAGGGCCTTCATGCTTTTTTGGAAAAGCAACACACACCCTGGTAAATGGTGCTCGTTTGAACTACACAGCCCCGGTTCAAATCCTGGCTCCATAACATGCAGCTTGTGTGACCCAGGGAAAGTCGCTGAATCTTGCTGAACCTTTGTCTCATCTCCTACAAATGTGATCAGTAATCCCCTCCCGAAAGTGAGACACAGCCCCATGCCTGCCTTCTAGCAGGTTCTATCCTCTTGCTTCCTCCACGGTCAGTGATCACAGACAGAGTCTTCCCATCCTCCGGGCTCAGAGCCAAGGCCTAAAAGCCACAGACAGCAGCTTTCCAGCTGGGACAAAGGAACACGGGCTGGGTGGGGGCGGGGAGGTGGCTGGCGGCTCCTCAGACATGCTATAGTTTGGGCTTAATGGTTGGAAGGTCCCATCCATCCTTGAAATTGTCTGATGCCGTCGTGTAAGATAGAGGGGGTATGTTTGGCTTAGAAAAACCCCGGAAGAAAGGAGTCTGCCTCGGACAACTGGGAGGCTGCCAAGCTGCCAAGCATCCCGACCTTGAATGATTCGGCACCTGGCTTTTTTGGCTCTTCCTGTATGAAGTTTGCTGGCTTTGTATCAGATGGAAGGAGGAATTGCCAGGGACTTGAATTGAATCTGTCAAACAGGGCGAGGGGAGTGTAGAATGCTGGGGACTGTGCTGGGAACGCAGATAGTCCGACAGCACCATCTGGACTTAGCAAAGATGACAGCCCGGAAATCAGATGGAGGTAGCCAATAAAGCCCCACGTTCTGCTGTCCTGGTCCTGTCCCCAGGGGTGACTCCCATAATCTCCTCAAAGAGGAGTGTTGGGACTCTTCATCTCTGCAGAGCTAAGGTCGCTCTAAGGGCAGGACTAGGCAGGTGGTTTTAGTGCCACCAGGCTGCACCAGCCCAGCGGAGCTGTTTCAGGGATTTGCTAAGCTGGCTGTTAACCCAGACATTAAGGGGGAAAAATGATAAACACATACGATTAAATCTATTTAAATAAATTAAAATCATAGGTCGCTGTCACTGTCCTCCCGTTTTTCATCGATTTGCTCGAGCGGGCCCAGTAACGTCTCCATTGGAGACTTTGTTGTTACTGTGTTTGGCATATCCAATACATCACGGGTAGCTTGCCAGGCTCTGCCGGAAATCATAGGTAAGGCTCAAATGTATCCCTTCCCAATCATTTTGCTAAATTTGGCTGTTTACTATATCCGTGCTCCCGAGGTTCTAGGCATCTATTGTCTTTGGTGGAAATACTATGTAAAGGGATGGTCTTCTCAGCACACCACTAGGGACATCACACTGGGAAAATTAAATCAGCCACAGCAGGTGTTTCTACTGCAGGGGTAAATGCCATTTAGTCATATTTTCCCTGGAGAGCTGGTTGTTGAACATTTACCATTAAACAACTGCCACGTGGGGTGGGACTGAGAAAGAAAGTGATACAAGTAAGCGTTAAAAGATTCAGCTGGGGTAGTGGGGGGGGGGGGGGTTAAGAAGTGGGTTCTCTTTCTCTGAAGCCAAATACCGTGGTGGTAGCAGAACTGACTTGGAGTTTTGTTTTGCTTTGTTTTAATCCACTTGAAAATACTGCTTTCTCTGCTTGTTTTTTCTTGCCTCTTCTGTTTTTCATGCGTGAGAAATCGCTTGCGTTTTTCTCCTTAACTAATAGAGTGATTTATAAGGTTCTATCTTACCTGTGGGCTATACTTCAGCTACGTTCCCTGCAGGAAAGTGAAGAGTAGATTTTGCTGCCTAATTGGCAAACTGGAAAATGTGTTCTAAGGACTCTATCTTAACGAGGCCCCCCCAAAGAACTCATTTCCAAGTGATTAATACAGCAATAGCAATGTTAACGTCTCCAACAGAGAAGAAATCATTTATAAATGATTGTTTTTGCTGTTTTTGCTTTCTATTAAAATTACTATGGAACGGATTGCTTTGTTTGCCTTTATCCCCCAAACCAAGTGTCTTTTGGTGGTTCTTTTGAAGTAAGAATCACATGATGAATCTCCATTGGATGATTTTTGCATCATGAAAGGAGGTTTCATAGAAACCTCACCCCATTCACTTGCATGCCAGCTGCATTCTGAAAAACCCTAATTTTCCTTTCAAAGGCAGAGTGCCGTTTGAATTGTAATATTGCCAGCTTTCAACTGTCCAGATGATGGAGGAAAATACCATCACAGATGGCATGCGCTTGTTGTAGGCCTGCTCAGCCTGCTCTTCGGGACTGATATTTGAAGAGGCAAAGAGCAAGTGAGAGTTGAAGGCCACTCCAGATGCCCAGGGAATGGAAAGAACCCATGTGCCCACCCATTGAGCAGAGAGGCCCAGCCATCGGGACGTTTCCAAAGGTTTTCTGGAAGAAGGCGTGATAGGCTCTTTAATAACTGGGGTTGGTACTAGGTTGGTGACCCTTGATCGTTGGTCAGCTTTGTAAGGTCCAGGAGCTGCTTACTGGTTCCTGGTGAGGGTCTCCATGTGACTCACAGAATGATTGTTGTGCCCAACACTGATTTGGGGTGTGACGCTCTAGCTATCCCATACACGTTGTTCTTCAGCCAGACCACAGGGAATGTGACCTAGATTTCTTTTTCAGTGGGTATGAAAATCTTCACACTACAAGCAAGTAGAGTGAATATTTCGGTAAACTCCCCAGATTGTAAATGATCAAAATCTTCTATTTTTACTGCACTTGTCCATCTCTTTTCCTTATGCATTTTAAAACTCACAGACCCAGTCTTTGCTCCCCTCACCTTTTTCAGCATGTGTCTCTTTTTTTTTCTTTTCTTTTTGGGCCATACCCTGCGATGGTCAGGGGTTACTCCTGGTTCTGCACTCAGGAATTACTCCTGGCGGTGCTCAGGGGGACCATATGGGATGCCGAGGATCAAACCTGGGTCAGGGCGCGTGCAAGGCAAATCTCTACCCACTGTACTATCGCTCCGGCCCCAGAATGTGTCTCATTTGATAAAAGGGCTGGTTCATGATGCTTTTGACACATGAAACAAGAGTCAGTGATTCCTTGACACCATCTCAATTAGGTGTTCAAATTACACATTTTAGACACCAGTGGATCTGTTGGCTCAGGAAATACTTTTGGGAGGGTCAGTGACTGCGCCCCCACCGTCCTAGTGGACAGGTGCTGAAACACCCCATACCCCAAGAACACGTTTAGGCCAGTGACCATTACCATCCCATGTGGTCACAGCTCTGAATTTTCAGTCCTTTAGCAAGAAGCCGGTGGTGGGGCCTCCTCCATTTCCAATGTCCTATGGCCACTTTGGAGCCTTTCCTAGCTACCTGATTCCAGCACCCCTCCAGCTGCTCCCTGCACCCCTGCTTTCCCTGTAGTTGGGACTTTTGCTGCAGGAATTTCCTCAGGGAAAGAGGGAGCACCTCTCCTCCACTGACCTCACATGCATGGCCAGGCTCTCCATGACTCCCCGCCCCTGAGTCCTGACTGCTCTGGGGGTTGGAACCTTAGGGGCTGCATTTATCATGAGGGATGTGAGAGAACATGTGAAAGGCAGCACCAGCCACACCTCAAGGTGCACCTCTGACTAGAAATCAGGCAAGGGGGATGGATGTACGGCTTGCTCTGGAACTTTCTTTTGCTCTAAAGAACATGAAGCATGCTGCTCACTGGGGAGCTCCATCAGTGCTGCTGGAGAATTCTAGAACCATGCTGAGTTCCTGCTTTTGGTGAACTGATGAACATATGTAAGAGTGTGTCCTTATTTTGAGAAACTACACATGAGCATGAATATGGAGGAATAAGTAGGCATCTGGGTTTTATAGTCTCTGGGTCTTGGATGTTGATGGGATTACACGGAAAACCCAGCTCCTGGAAGAGAGCAGCTCAGAGTCTCCTGCCCCTGCGCCTGGCTGTCCTCGCTCAGGCCCCTTGGAGGGGGGCGGGTTGAGTTTCCCTCCCCGCCCTGAGCAGAGTCCCGGCAGCCGAAGACCTCCGGAACCAGCCACAACCATGCTGAGACCACTCGCCACATGCATGAAGGTATCAGCAGAGGAACAAAGGCATGCGGGTCCCGGGGCTGAGATCTCCAAGCCTGCTCGGATCTGGGCTGAGCATCCTCCACCCAGATCCTCCATCTTCCAGTAGGCACCAACTGCCCCCCCCCCACCCCCCCCGCCCCCCCTCTGTGCCGTGTAATCCCATCAACAGCCAAGACCCAGAGACTATAAAACCCAGCTCCCAGAAGTAACCTGCCCACACGGCAGAGTCCAGCAAACTCCCCGTGGCGTACCCAATATGCCAAATACCAGTAACAATGATGGGTCTCATTCTCCTAACCCTGAAAGAGCCTTGAATGTGGCACTTTTTAGAATCTCAGGGCTAGGACAAAGGAGACGTTACTGGTGCCTGCTCGAGGCAATCGACGAACAACAGGATGATGATGATCGTGATCGAAGTAGGCATCAATTCTGCAATTTCCAAATGGTTCTGAAAATAATATCCATGGGGAACAAAAATGATTAAGCAAATGTGGCAGTATGCTCCCACTTGGGGCATCTGGGCAAGAGCTATATGGGAGTTCTTTGTAGAAATAGTTTGAGTAGATCTGACATTGCATCGACCTCACTACTGGGCTCACCTCTTCCTGGGAGACATTCAGTTTCAGGGCATTTTTTTTCTCTTTCTTGGGTATGTTCCTTTCCTCTGGGCCCATGATCTGTAACCAAGTTCTCTCACTTTTACAAGTCCAACGGCTACGTTATTTCTCCTCAAATGTTTCAATGTGTCTCAGAGTTGCCAGCTCCAATCTGAATTTTCACTATTGTCTCAGAGGACAAACTCACTCTGTTTCCAGGACTGCCTCTAGCGCCCACCCCCGCACCCCCCACACTCAAGCCAGAGAAAAGTGTAATAACAGCGCACAAACTCAGCAGTTATAGTCTTCTGCTGTTGTCCTCACCCCCACATCCAGTTTATTTTTTCCTGTGGTAAAACTTTACTTTCAAGCTCTAAACATTCCTTTTTCATTGAAGTTGTTTTTTTTTTTTTTTTGCGGGGGTGAGGGAGGGGCTTTGTTCATTAAGATGGAAAGTCTGTGATTCATCCTTAAAGATTTGCAAGGAAAGGGCAGCATTTATAATCTCTTCTGGTATCAAGAACAACCTTGTTCACATGCTTTTAAAACCAGCTACTGTTTATTTACATAACAGTTACTGAAACTCTGTATGCACGTATATAAAATGTTTATCTCAATGGCATTGTCATCAATCTTGATGAGTATCAGGAAAAACACTGTCAAACAAAATGATGACATGGTCTCTCATTCAAGTAACGGTTCATCTTTTCTGATCCCAAGTGTGTGGCTATTGTCCTGAGATGCCCTTCATGAAACCATTAAGAATTCCAAACACCTCACTTGCACCCTGTCTGTCTGCTTCTGTCTGTCTGTCTGTCTGTCTGGGACATGCCGGAGGGTTCTGATCTTGGCCATCTGGGGACCTAGAACACAGAAACCATCCACAGCTGTGCAAGGATAGAATACTATGAAGTGAGACCCAGAGCAAATATTTGTAAAACAAAAATTCACAGCCAGCAGGATACACTTTATAAGACTGCGTATATATTTCATATTTCTTAAATGTAGGAGTACTGCTATTTATTCAGCCACTGATTAGGCTGATTGAATTGGGCATAAACTCCACCTTACTTTTTTTCCATTTTTTATAATTTTATTTTTTGAATCACCGTGAGAGCAGTTACAAAGCTTTCAGGTTTAAGCCTCGGTCATACAATGAAACATCCGTACCTTCACCAGTGTCCATTCTCCACCCTCAACCACCCCAGTATACCCCCACCCCACACCCTCCCCCTACCTGTGGGGAAGATGATTTCCACATTACTCTCTCTCTACTTCAATTACATTCAATATTTTGACACCAGACCCACCATGATTTACCCCAACACTCAGATCTGCCGAAAAGGCAACAGTAGACAATTTGTTTTCTGTTGTCTATATTTAAATGAAAAAAAATTATTTTGGTTGTTGGGCTACACCCTGCTGTGCTCAGGGAACCATGCATTCCAGGGCATCGGGTCTGGACCTCCCCATGCTGAGCCTGCACTCCAGACGGCAGCAGGCTACATATTCTAATAGAAAAACTTCATCTGTCGCTTCCAAGGATGATCCTGGTCGAACCCCTGCAAATTCTGCTAAGAGGCAGAGAAAATGTGAGAGGATCAGAGCATCACCAGAACTGAACCTCTTCACCCTGGCTGCTCCTTTGGGATCAAGGAGGCGCTTGTTTTCAGATCTCTGGGCAATTGAGATTATGTCCCTCAGTACTGTATTATGACTGAAAATGTATATTTTTATTTTTATTGCGGAATTTAAAAACTAAACGCAGAACAAACACCTAAAGATGTTAAGAGGGCTGGAGAGATGGCATATGAGATGGGTAAGGCACATTCTGCGGAGCTGGATTCAATTCACAACAGCACATATGGTCCCCTGAGCACTGCCAGGAGTGATCCTGAGCAGAGAGCAAGGAGCAAGTCATGAACAGAGCCAGGGTCATCTGCATGCAAGAAAAGCAACTCAACCTCCGTGTACTTGCTCTCTGCACTTTCCCCCCGCCTCTCACCGTCCCCTCTTCCTCCCCTCTGCCACACACACACTTAACTACTTTTAAAGCAGCTTTTTTATTCACTGCTGGGTGGCTGTTTATTGATGTATTTTTTAATTGTGTATTAGTGAATCATCGTGGGATGCAGTTGCAGACTTACAAACTTTAATGCTTGTGTTTCAGTCATACAGCGGTTGAGCACCCATCCCTCCACCAGTGCCCATTTTCCACCACCAGTGGTCCCAGCATCCCTCCCACCACCCCTACCCCATCCCCTCCACCTCACCCCGCCTCTGTGGCAGGACATTTCCTTCTCTTCTCTCTCTCCTTTGGGTGTTGTGGTTTGCAACAGAGGCAATGAGTGGCAATCATGTTCGGTCTATAGTCTACTTTCAGCCCACATCTCCCATCCTGAGCGGGCCCTCCTAGCACCCTTTACTTGGTGGTCCCTTCTCTATCTGAGCTGCCTTTCCCCCCAGCATGCGAGGCCGGCTCCTTAACTGTGAAGTAATCCTCCTGATACTTATCGCTACTGTTCTTGAGTGTTAGTCTCCCATTCTGTTACTTTATATTCCACAAATGAGTGCAATCTTTCTATGTCTGTCCCTCTCTTTCTGACTCATTTCCCTTAACATGATATTTTCCATGTTGATCCACCTATATGCAAATTTCATGACTTCATCTTTTCTAACAGCTGCATAGTATTCCTTTGTGTAGATGTACCAAAGTTTCTTTAACCAGTCATCTGTTCTCAGGCACTCAGGTTTTTTTTTTTCCTCCAGATTCTGGCTATTGTAAACAGTGTTGCAATGAACATATAAGAGCAGATGCCATTTCTACTAGACTTTTTTTCATCTCTGGGATATATTCCCAGAAGTGGTATTGCTGGGTCAAATGGGGGCTCAATTTCTAATTTTTCGGGAAGTGTCCATACTGTTTTCCAAAAGGTTAAAGCAGCTTTTTTACTGGTTGTTTTAAGAATTATTCTGGACATGTTCATAACTCTTTAAGGTTAATGCTAGTTTAATTACAGTAGAATAGAGAAACTTCCCCAATATAATTCTATTCCCTACCTTCTCTTGGGGTGTGTGGGCGGGGGGCAGGGGAGACAAGGGGGGTGGGGAATAGCGGGGGTGGGTCACAGCAAGTGGTACTCAGGGCCTACTCCTGGCTCTGCACACAGGGATCAGTCCTGGTGTTTTGGGGACCATATGTGGTGCCAGAGATGGAACGAGAGTTAGTCACACACAAGGCAAGTGCCTTATCCCTGAACTAGATCTCTTGCCCCCTACTCCCCCCCCCCCATCCTTTGATCAAGATCAACAGAACTTGTATGGGAAGACTTTTGGGAACTATGATAGCCTATCTGCAGTCTGATTGCAAATACCATATTAGTGAGCTGACAGACCATCACTCAGGAGTTGTGCAAAGCCACCAAAGAACAAGCACAAAGATCTTGATGACAACAGTTTACTATTCTCTATGCCTAAAGCTCTAAATTCCCTTGCATATGCGGATAAGAAAGAAAGCACCTCTCTTGGGGAGTTCCAGGGAGAGGGCAGGCGCTCTCGCTGTCCTGGAGGGCAGTTATGCCCCCTGCACTGTGGGAGAAGTTGCCAACCCAGCGCAACATCGGGGGGGGGCATGAGTGATGGGTTATATTTACTCCACTGAGACAAGATCTACTAAGTCTTGAAGGATCCTCTGTTCTTGCAAACTGAATTTTCGCTGTTGGGCTAGATATAAGCCTGCATTGGCATAATCTTGTGCCTGAAAGAGAATGGCATAAAAGGAAGTTATTAAAGGCAGGGTACAATAACCAAGGCATGGACTTCTATGTGAGAGCTCTGGCTGCAAAGCTGGGGCTCACAACCATATCTTCTGACTCTAAGTAGTGGGGTCTCCAACACCAGAGAAAGTACATAGCTCTTCTAAAAACGGAAGGTGCTCAGGAGGAGACTGGGTTCTCTCTGGGCAAGAGATGTACATGCATGTACAAAGCAAAGACCAACACGGTGATTCCTGGTGGCATACCTAAGCAAACCAAGTGACCTGGGAGAGAGTTCATGCCCACATTAACAGGGAGGGCTCAAGCCAAGTTCGGAAGGAGCCTTGCGGCTTGGGTCATTGGACACAGAATCCATGTGAGGCTGCATGCACCCCCTCAGGGATAGAAACTAAGTGGAAAGTAATAGAAGACTTTCTGATAAAGCCATTAAAGGAAAACTTGCCATTGAAAGGTCCCATCAGGAATCGACCCCAGAAACATGGGAAAGGCCCTATCAGTTTCTCTGACCCTACGCCGCTGAGCCCAATGGGGACAATTGAACATGAATGTGGAACACCTGAACAAAGGGAGCACCTCAAAGGATCTTCATCGGGGCCCTTTGGTTCAGCATCAGGAGTCACAGGTTGAGAGATGTCACAAATCAATTCCCATCCTGAGGTCATGGGACTCAGGGTTTTAACTGGAACTGAGATTCCATAGGACATCTTGGGACAGACTCTTCCTTCCTCCTCTTCTCCTTTTGTCTTTCCTTCTTTTCTCCCCTCCCTCCCTGCTTCCTTCTTCCTTTCTTCCATCCATATTTCCTCCCTTTCTTTCTTCCATCCATATTTCCTCCCTCCCTCCCTCGCTCCCTCCCTCCCTCCCTTCCTTCCTCCCTCCCTCCCTTCCTTCCTTCCTTCCTTCCTTCCCTTTCTCTCCCTCTTTCCTTCCTCCCTTTTTTTTCAATGAATGTTTACTGAATGGCTACTATGTTCCAAGAACTGTTCCACAGGTAGAAATTCCTGCCCAGGGAGAAATGTGGTAGGGGAGAGCTGGAGAGATAGTACAGTAGGTAGAGTGCTTGCCTTGCAGTCACCTATCCCAGTTCAATTCTTAGCATCCCATATGGTCCCCTGAGCCCACCAGGAGTGATCCCTGAGCACAGAGCTAGGAGTAATCCCTGAGCATTGCCAAGTGTGTCTCCTCCAAAATACATGGTAGGGGAGAGAGGTAATGAAACAAAGAAAGAAAGAAAACAGGACAATGCAATACATGCTAAAGGGGGAAAATTAATACAGCAGGAAGGGGGCTGAGAAGCATCAGTGTGGTCTAGGTGGGGCCAGAGGACTCCTGCCTGAGCTGAGGGAGTGAGGTGCCAGCCTGAGAGACAGAGGGATCCCTTTTCTCTAACGACCTCGCAGAGCTCTGAGAACTTGACCACTATCACCACTTGGAGTAACTTCCCCCAGGTATGTTGAGTACATAGGTAATTGGAACCTGAACTGTCGGAAAGAGGCTTTGTCCATTGCAAACCTGGAACTTCAGTGGGAATATTCTGTCCCACGAATCCCCTCTTCCCACTGCCCACAGGGTGAGTGTCCTCCCTTCTGTTCTCACCCCGGCCCCCATCATACCCTCATGCCTGCTGACCCTGGGTTCCGAGTTCTGGTACATAGGAGGTGCTTAGGAAACAAGTGTTGAAGAAAGGAAGGGAAGATGGAGCAGGGGGAAGGGAACCCACACACAGCAAGACCCCCTCCCACAAAACCTCCCTCTTCCCTACGCCTGTTTTCTTTTTGTCTGGGCCACTTTCATTGAGTATCTTTGGCCAGGATTCTTGTTTGGCGTTTTATTTTGTTTTGGGGCTATACCTGGTGGTGCTCAGGGGTTATTCCTGACTTGGTGCTTAGGAGAAGGGGATATGGGGGCACCACTTCTGGTGGTTCTCGGAGAACCATGTGGGATTGAACCCAGGTCATCTGCATAGAGAACATATTCAGTCCTTGTTCAGTCCCCAGCTCCTTGGAGTATTTCTTTTCTCATTGATGTTATAATGAAACAAAGTTGAACAAAATGACGTTAGATGATGACCTGCTGCGTTTGAATGAGTGATTCGATCAATAAGTCAGTAAGTCTGAAAATTACCACTTACTGTCTATAAGAACCGAGCGCATGTCACGGTGCCTCGGTGTTCTTATCTGCAAAGTGGGAATAATGAAATACCTACTTGCCAAGGTTGATATGAGAATAAAATATGATACTTCATATAGAGCACTTAGGCTGATGACTGGAAGCTAATAAACACAAGCGATCCCCTTTTGAATTATTTTATTGTAATCCACTTCTACCTAGGTCCCACCAGCAGTCAGTGCTCACTGAGTGTGTCTAGAGGTTCTTCCCTGTTTCTCCTAGGACCTCCCTAGCACTTCCCAGCCTCAGTTTATCTATGCAGTCCTGGAAAGGTCCCCTGAAAGTCCTCTATGCAAATGGGATTCACGGAGAAATGTGTGAGCACCCAAACATCTTTGAAGTAAGATGCTTTGGCATTTCTTTCATGAAGAAACTTCCTTATGAGGCCAGAGAGAGAGTAAAAGCACTCGCCTTGCACATGGCTGACTCAGGTTCAATCCACAACACTATATCATCCCCTGCATACCATATCAGGAGTGATCCCTGAGTACAGAGCCAGGAGTAAGCCCTGAGCACTGCTAGGTGTGGCCAAAACAAATTTTTCTTTTAAAAAAGGAACTTTTTTTTTTCCTTTTGGGGTCATATCTGGCAATTCACAAGAGTTACTCCTAGCTCTGCACTCAGGAATCACTCCTGGTGGTGCTCAGGAGGCCATATGGGATGATGGGAATCAAACCCAGGTTGACCACTTGCAAGGCAAATGCCCTACCCGCTGAGCTATCACTCCAGCCCTCCCCAAAAGGAACTTCTTGGGGCTGGAGAAATAGTACAGTGAGTAAGGCACTTGCCTTGCATGCAGTTTAAACTGGGTTTAATCCCCACCATCCCTTATGGTCCCTGAAGCATTGCCAGGAGTGATTCCTGAGCACAGAGCCAGGTGTAACCTCTGACCATCGCTGGGAGTGGCCCCAATACCAAAAAAATAAGAACAAATAAAAAGGAGTTCCTTTCTCATCCGAAAGCAAAGAGCCAGTGCAACTGGTCATGGTCCTCCCATCGATTTGCTCGAGCGGGCCCAGTAACGTCTCCATCATGAAACTTGTTGTTACTGTGTTTGGCATATCGAATACGTCACGGGTAGCTTGCCAGGCTCTGTCGTGCGGACGAGATACTCTCGGTAGCTTGCCTGGCACTCAGAGAGGGGCGGAGGAATCGAACTCAGGTCGGCCATGTTGGCCGCTTGTAAGGCAAATGCCCTACCGCTGTGCTATCGCTCCAACCCCAGTGCAACTGGACAAAACTGAATTTAACAAGAGCAATTCTCCTCCCTGCCCCACCCCCGTCCCCTCAACAAGACGAGCTACTTTCTCTGGAAACTTGCCTTTGGAGAATTCATCAGGAAGAAAAGCATGGCAATGGTTTTCAGAACAAAAACCGTTTTTCTGGGTTCTTTTTCTGTTCTAGCATCTCGAATGCTCAAGATCGTATTCAGGATCCTAACAGCTTCTGCTTCTTGGGCTTCATCTGCCATGGGAAGAAGGGAGGAAAGATGGAACAAACAGGGAAGCTGAGTCTGCACCTTTGCTCTCCTTCCCCTGAGCTACCAGGAGCCAGGGGTAAGGGAGAGGGCTGTCAGGAAGCCCCCTTCCTGGAGCACTGGTGGAGGCAGCCCACAGCTCAGTCCTAGACCTGCGAAAAGCTGCTTCCTGGGGCCTTGACCACCAGCAGGCCCCCAGTCCAGGATCTGTGCCTCCAGCTGCCTAAGTCTCTCTGCCAAGCAGCATTTCTCAATCAGGGAATTCTAAGGGGACTACAGGCGGAAATCACACAAATGGGGGCCAGAGCCCAAGACAAGGAACAGACCGGTGGGAGAGGAGGGTTGGTGGGTGGAAGGTGTCACAGGAAGGAAACAAAGGGCCTTGGTTGGAAAGGGGATGAGAAACATTGATCTAGAGCAAGAGTGAGGCTTGTGGCTTCTTGCATGCGCAGCCCCTAAATCCTTCTTCCTCCAAGCCAGGGGTCTTGGGCAGCTGCCTTTCTCCTTCCCTCAGCTGAGCCCGCACATCCCCTGCCGCAACCTCTAGTGAGGGATGAGGTATCTGTAACTGGAAGCACATTCGCTGCTACACTCAAGAAGAAGAGAAAGAACATCGACCATCATGTTCGTATCCACTCTTCGTACACATGTTCTGCTTTAACAGGAACTCTTTTACCAAGAGAGAAAACTCAATGGATTGACGCTTTTTTTTTTTAACCCCGAGTGCTTGAAACCTCTGCTCCAAAAAATCATCCCTCTTCCACACCACCCAACTGTCCTCACTCTCTGGCTCCAGGCCTCATGCTGAAATACCATCTGTACTTGCAGGAATGTTTTTTGCTACTTCACAGAGGTTCTGTGCAACTACACTGGGTGTCTCTCATGAGCAGAAACAAGCCTCTCTATCTCTCTGGATTAGCTCAGAGGAAATAACGATGGAGTTGGCCTGGAGAGAGACGTCAGTCTGCCCTGGAGATGCTCACAGTCCAGTGATGAAAGAGTTCCCAGGAAGAATGAGCCTAGCCTCCCACTCTGGGCCTGTGCCCTACAAACCTACAAACCCTAACACCTAAGAAATTCCCTGTGCCTGAATCACAGGGGCTCTGCAGGGTCCTTTTTTTCCCTCTTCGGGTCACACCCGGCAATGCTCAGGAGTTACTCCTGGCTTTGCACTCAGGAATCAATCCTGGAGGTGCTCAGGGGAACATATGGGATGCTGGGAATCGAACCCAGGTCAGCCACGTGCAAGGCAAATGCCCTGCCTGCTGTGCTATTGCTCCAGCCCCAGCAGGGTCCTTTTACTTAGAAATACTCCCTTATTAGCCCCCTGAAAGGCAGGAATCTGAATTTTCAACATCATTTCTAAAATCTTTTTGATTCCCAGCTAAATTTCCACAAGGGGACAGTGAGGAAGATGGAATGATGAAGGTCTCTTAAGGGCAAGGAATGTGGGCTAGAGAGACAGTACAGGGGCTAGGACACTTATTTCACATGAGTCCAACCCGGGTTTGATCCCTGCACGACACGTGTCCCCCAAACCCTTCCAGGAGTAATCTCTGAGTGCAGAACCAGGAGTAAGCCCTGAATGCTGCTGAGTGCGGCCTCTACCAGCCCCCACAGACCCTCCCTCCCCCACCCAAGCACAATGGATGCCAAGCTGTGTGGATGAGTTAGGAGGGGGGATCTTACCCAAGCCGGTGTCAGTCTCAAACCGTTTGCCCAGCAAATCGATTTGTTGGAGGCGAGCTTCTGCAAGGACCTGATAGTGCCCATATAAATATTTGTTCCAGATCTCAGTGACCTGTTATTGCAAAGGGAGAGAGAAATCAGAAATTCGAGCAGCCAGCCTGGCTTTAGCTGGCTATGTGGGCAGCACCTCTGGCCAGGTTTCCTGACACCTCTCTGTCCAACCCGGGTTTGACCCTCTACAGTCTCTCTGTCTTATGCCTGGAGCCGGGAAAAGTCTTTGGAGTCCAGACTGGTCCGGCCCGACTAATTATGACAAGTGCTGACCACAAAAGGCAGGTAAAGAGGGGGACATCCTGGTGGGATCTAATAACAACCGCTATCATTTATTAAATGTCCTCAACTGAAACCTTTACATCTTCACAGCTGTCTCATTGAAGGCATTTTTTTGGAAAATTATTATTCATTTTTACAGATCAACAGCGGCTCAGAGAAGCTAAGATCACACTTGTCTTTGATAAGAGCTGCTAAGAACCAAGATTTAAATTCAATTGGGGGGCTGGAGCAACAGCACAGCAGGTAGGGCGTTTGCCTTGCAGGCGGCCAACCCAGGTTTGATTCCCAGTATCCCATATGGTCCCCTGAACACCAACAGGAGTAATTCCTGAGTGCATGAGCCAGGAGTAACCCCTGTGCATCACTAGGTGTGAAAAAAGCAAAATAAATAAATAAATTCAATTCGGACACCAAAGTGCATTTCAGCGACACCACAATGCCTCTTCCTCAGAAGTGAGCATCAAATGCAAATAGTTGGAGAGTTCAAAATGCTGGAGGGCATGCTCTGCGTACGGAGGACCCGGGTTTGATTCCTGAACTGCCAGTCCCCTGAGCACTGAGCCAAGAGTAGTCCCTGAGCACTGCCAGGTGTGGTCTGAAAACAAACAAACAACAACAACAAAAAAAAAAACTAGAATAAAATACATTACAGCATGAGGGACTATATGTAACACCCGGAAATGGTTGCTTGCTTAATGAGATGTTACTATGTGAATATAGTCAATATTTTAGTATGTTGACAATGAAGTAAAACCATTTACATGAAAAATGGAGAATTTCGGGGGCTGGAGCGATAGCACAGCAGGTAGGGCGTTTGCCTTGCATGTGGTCGACCCGGGTTCGATTCCCAGCATCCCATATGGCCCCCTGAGCACCGCCAGGAGTAAGTCCTGAGTGCAGAGCCAGGAGTAACCCCTGTGCATCGCCAGGTGTGACCCAAAAAGCAAAAAAAAAAAAAAATGGAGAATTTCAAGAATTCTTATGTTTGTTGATCCCTTCATAGGAACTTTCAGCTCCCTATCAAAACCATGTCTTGTCTATCAAACACCTCCATGAGCCACATTAACTCCAGTGCGTGGGTACCACAGAACAGGTGGCTGTGTATAGGGAGGCTTTGGTTCTTAGAGCCCCACTTGTCATTAGTTAGATCACTCTGCTACTAAGGATTAGTCTGTTTTGGTGGCAGAGAAACAGAAAGAACCTTGGGAAAATCACTTTATTTGTGGAAAAAATCCACTATTTCTCTGTAAATTTCTCATCCACAGTCTGATACCAGTTTTCAGACACAAGACTTAAGTGTCAAAAGTTGGCTTCCACATTCCCCAGCTCACCTTTGTGTGCAATGTATCTGCCAGGTTCCACTTTCCAAGGCGATGGAAGATACTGGCCAGGTGGAAGTAGCCTCCTGAGGTCCTGATGTCCTCTGTTCCAAATGCACAACTGGCATGATAAATCTGTAGAAGGAAGACAACCTGAGTTCTTTGGGAAACATACGTCTCACAAAGGGGCTTGAATCCAGAAAATATCGAGAACTTTTATAACAGTTCAATTTAAAACATAAGCAAAGAATCTGAAGAGACATATCTCTGAAACATAACAATGGCTCATCATAACCTCAAATGATACTAAATATTAGTATTATTAAGAAAATATAAAATAAAACCATAATGAACTACCACTTCACACACAAGGATAGCCATACTTGGGTAAGCAGAGGAAAATAACAAGCACTTGGTAAAGATGTGGAGAAATGAAAATACACTGTTTGTGGGAATACAAAAATGGTACAGCTTTCATAAAAAAAAAATTGTGTTGTTTTAGAAAACGTGTGTTGAAATATTGTAGAGCCTATCCATTCTGTTTTTAAGTAGATTCCCAAGAAAGTGCATCCACACAGAGATCTATACACAAATGTTAACAGAGGCATTATTACCAATATCCACAAAATGGAAATAACCCGTGTGTCTACCGCCTGGTGAATGGGTGGACTAACTGTGGCTTTTCCAAATACAGAAATACTACTCAGCAATAAAAACATAAAGAATTTCTATGCCCAGAAACATGAATGGTTCTCAAGATAATTATACTGAGTGTGAGGAGTGCCACATGATTCTGTATGTGTGAATCGTCCACAAAAAATAAACATGGGTCTATAGAGGTACGAAGTAGTTGCCTGGAGTTTGAGGGTAGACACGAGAAATAACTGCACACAGCTATTAGGATTCTCTTTAAGGAACCCCTTCTAAGACTAGATTGTTCAAATGGTTGAGCTACTCTGTAAATTGACTAAATATCATGGAACTCCATGCTTACATTAGGTGAATTTTGTGGTCTGTGCCCAAAAAAAAGCTGTGTTTCTTTTCTGTTTTGTTTGGCGAGCTAGACTGAGGAATGGAGCTGACCTAACCCTTAGTCCAGTAGCCGAGCTCAGACAGAGCAACTGTGCCTTCATAGAATTTCCTTTTCTGTAAGCTTCATTTAAACAGAATCATGTGTGATCTTTAGTGTCTGCCTTCTTTCTCTTAGCATAATGTGTATCTACTTATACTTGTTGGAGAGTGAAGGCGAAAACACAAGTGAAGAAGAGTTTTAGTCAGGCTTGCATGTGGCAACCCTCAAAAGGATTGCTTAGTGAGAGTTTATTGAAAAGCTTATTTACAGCAATTGGAAGTGGTAAAGAGCTAGTGAGTTCTAGGGTCAGTCAACAGTAAGAAACTACTATCATCCAAAGACAAGAGAGAAAAAGCAGAGTTATGAGGGCCCAGAAAGAATTGGTAATATGGAGGGAGCTGTGTCCACGAGGGAACTCTGCCCCTGCAAGGGGTCAGAACGGCAGCAGAGTAAACACACCTCCCACCCTCCCTCCCTCTACCCCCCACTTATTTCCTGGTTTTGGGGACACACCTGGCAGTGCTCAGGGGACTATATGGGATGCCAGGGATCAAATCTAGGTCGGCTGCATACAAGACAAGTACTCTACCAGCTGTACTATCACTCCGGCCCCACCAACTTCTCTCTTCTCCCAACTTCCACTCCTGCTATGGCCTCCACCCCAACTTCAAATATCACAAAAGCTAGAGAGTGATGGAATCAAGTTGCATAGTCCATAAAGCTCATTTCCTCGAGGCAAAAGCCTGAATTTGGGAGGCTTAAGGGAGTCAAGGAAATTACCCCACCCAAGAAGTTTCTAGTGCAGCAGGAACCAAGCTGGACTTCCTAGCAGAGAGTCTGAGAAAGCAGCAATCCACATGGTTAGGGCAGTCCAACCCTAACCACAGCTAGATCTTGGGCTCAGAAACGTTTCTCATGGTAACAGTATCTAATACCGAATTCCTAATAGAAACCTCATAAATTTTGGAAGAAGGTTCAATAATCACCCTCATCATCCTGTCTAGCATTTGTATAAAAGTACAGTTTACAAAGTACTTTCATAGCTCCAACTCATTTAAATTTAATAACCACACTCTGAAGTAGAGCCATTGATGTTATTTTTAAAATAATGGCCAAATAAAAAACAACCCTTAGACTCTGACAACAGAACTGAGGTTACTAAGTGGGGATGGGGTCGAAGGAAAAAAGAGGGGAAGACAAGAAATGACAGAGTTAGGGTTTTCCACACTATTTTTGGTGGTGCAGGTGGAGGTGTAGTGACTTTGTACAGCAAATGCATAAACATTACCACTACTGTAAACCATACTGTTTCAATAGTAATAAAAAGAATAAAAACAACACAATGGCTAATGTATTACACATATTCTATCCTACTATTTATCTTAGCAATGACCCAATGGGACAGAAGCTATCTGTCTCACAAGAGATAAAAGAAGACAAATGGCCTGGCTAACTAGCGAAATGACAATGCCAGCACCACAAGTCAAGCTCTCCTTCACCAGTATGCTCTCCCGTCCCCACTGTCATCTTCATAGCAAGAGAGGCCTGGGGACATGACGTGAAATGGCCATGACTGCATCGCCAAGAAATGGAAAAACTTGAACACAGGTCATTAGAATTGAGTTCTTGATAATTCCCCCACCGGTCAGTTATAAACAGACAGTTAAGAGAAATGCTTAATTTATTTGTTTACAAAAGAAAAACAATCTATTCCTTCCTTCCTTCAATAACCACTCAGTATCTGTGTTGCAGAACATAATGTCCAGAAAGTGGGGGAGGGTGGTCACGGGTGGTGATGGGAGGGAACATGAGTCATTGGTGGTAGGAAATGAACACTGATGGAGGGATGGGTGTTGGATCATTGTATGACGGAAACCTGATCATGAACAGCTTCGCAACTATGTATCTCAATTGAAAAATATAAATAAATAATTTTTTAAAAATTTTTTAAAAAAAGGAAAACAATTTATCTTGTTTACATCATTGGCCAGATGATAGCGTGCTTCGTCGTAGTTTTCCTTAGCTATGTAGAGAAGACCCAGGTTTCGGTGCAGCAAAGAGTGGGTGGCACTAGAACATTCAGTTGATTTAAGGACTGTCCACTGGGCTTGGGATAGATATTCCTCGGCCTGGACAATATGGCCCATACCTGCCCAAAGGAAGCAAAGATGGTTATAATTAATATCCTGGCCAGAGAAAGCATGATAATGATTCCTCACCTATTGGTTAATTCATTTACTCATTTACTTAAATATTTAGAAACAGACAAAACTTTGTACACAGCTGTTCATAACAGCCTGTTTATAACAGAAAACATGTAGAGAATATTTGAATGTCTGTTGTCTTGACAACGGACAAATATGTATACAAAATGTGGTTAATCCATCTCCCTGAGTACACTACTAAAGACTGATTCAGTCAAGTAAGACAGAATAAGAAAGACAAACACAGGATGATCTCACTTATCTGTGGTGCGTTGTATACTGGATGGGGAAATACATTGTAGTAAAGGGAAGATGCCTTGCCCCTTGTGTTTAGAGAGGACAGGAAAGGAAAAAAACCAAGGGGAAGGAAAGAAAATGGGAAGTAATGGGTGAACAGGCATCAGGGATTCAGTTAAACTAATGATATGGGAGAGTGATATATCCTTATATCCAAAACACAGACAGACTCAACAACACTGAAAACATGAGATCTAAACTGCAATCACTGGAACTTTGTAATCACTGTCAAGGTGATAAGCAGGGATGAGGCAGGGATTGGGATGGGGAAGGAATATGGGAACAATGGTGGAGAAAGGTTGACACTGGTGGTCGGATTATTGTTGAGATACTAAAACTCAACTTGATCTCTTGGATCACTTGATATCCCGTTACTCTTCAATTTGCTCGAGCGGGCACCAGTAACGTCTCCATTCATCCCTGTTGCGTGCCAGCATAGCCCAATGGCATCTGTTCATTCTAGGAACATGAAGAGCCTCAAACTGATTGTTCAGGGTCCTGACAAAGAAGTCTGACCATCTCGTAGGTGGGCGTCCACATGATCTTTTGACGTCCCGTGGAATCCAGTCGGTAATGACTCTAGTCCAGTGGTCATCTCTAAATCTCATTACGTGTCCAGCCCATCTGATTTTCAATGCCTTGGCAAACGAGACAGCATCCCTGATTCTTGAGCGTTGACAGAGATCAGAACTCCAGATTCTTTCTCTCATTTGAGTGAAGCGTGATACTCCAAGCATAGCTCTTTCGATACCTCTTTGAAAGACCCGAATAGTGTTATCATTCTGTTTTCGTAGGGCCCAAGTCTCTGAGGCATATGTTAATGCAGGAAGAACAGTGGAATCCAAGAGATGTGCTCAGAGCTAGAGGTTTTTCGTCCTCTTAGCGATTTCTTCAACGCTCTTGAAGGCGTTCCAAGCCTCAATCTTCCTCCTGCGCAACTCAGGTGCCAGGTCATTCGACATGTTGACTTCTCGACCTAGGCACACATAACTGTTGCATTCGGAGATGGTCGTTCCATTGAGAGTGAATGGAACGTCAGGAACAAGACTGTTTCTCATGAACATTGTCTTTGTGAAATTCAGCATTCTGGCCAGCATTTGTGCCGCTAGGCTTATGTTTGGTGTTATTAGAATGATGTCATCAGCAAAGCGGAGGTGGTGTAGTTCCCAAACCATCTATCTTGACTCCCATTCCTTCCCATTCCAGTCATCACATGATGTTCTCGAGGGTGGCACTGAAAAGTTTCGGTGAAATAGTATCACCCTGCTGAACCCCTCTCTTGACATCAATGATCACTTCTTTGTAGAATGGTGAGATCCTGGTAGTGAATCCGTAATACAGCTCACGGAGGATCCTGATGTATTGAGTTTGAACACCCTGATTAGCTAGGGCTCTGATGACTGCTTCCATCTCAACAGAGTCAAAGGCCTTCTTTAAATCAATGAACATTAGACAGAGCAGCATCTTGAACTCCTAAGAAACCTCAATGAGCTTGGTTATCATGTGGATACGGTAAATGGTGCTCAATCCTTTGCAGAACCTGGCTTGCTCGTATGGTTGTCCTTCATCTGGTATTCTTCCAATCCTATTCAGTATGACTGGAGTGAACAGCTTGTAGATGACAGATAATAGGAAGATTGGGCGATAGTTGCCAATGTCGTGGATGTCTCCCTTCTTGTATAGTAGTACAGTTCTTCTGGTTTTCCATTGGGAAACTCTGGTTTCTCTTCAGATTGCATACATCTTTCACCTTTTACTAAAGATTTCCGTGGAGAGAAACAATTCTGAATTTTGAACCAATTCTGAGTTTTGACCAAAAAGTCAACAATCATTAACAAGAAGTCACAGTTTTTTAATTAAAAAAGAGAAAAATATTTAAGACTTATTCACTTACACAAAGGAATAGAGTACCGATACATGCTCAATGAACCTTGAAAACATAACACAAAATGAAAGAAGCCAGATGCAAAAGGTCATCTATTGTATGATTCTGCTATATAAATGCAGAGTTGACAAATCCATAGAGACAGAAAGCAGGGGACACTAATACTGACCAGGATCTACAGAGATGGGGGCATGGTTTTTCATTTTAGAGTAATGAAAACATTCTGGAACCAGTTAGGGTGAGGGATGCATGATCTTGTGACTATACTAAAATCACTGCATTGTACTTGAAAAGAGTGAATTCTATCATATCTAAATTGTCTCTATTAAAAAATTTTATACATGTGTATATTAATTACCCTTTATGTGCCAGGCCTTGTGTTGAGTTATAGGAATTCAAAGATGAATCAAGTTAATATGTGAACAATTTACATTTTGATTGAGGGAATAAGTGTGACATGAAAACAAATATAATAGAATATAAGTATGATGATAGAAACTCAGAGAGAGTATAGCAGGTAAAGTATTGGCTTGCTCCTGGCTGATCAAGGACCCATATAGGGTCCCCAGAGCACTGTCAGAAGTGATCCTTGAGCACGAAGTTGAGTCAGCCCTGAGCATTGTAGGCTATGGCACAAACACCCTTGCCCACTTCCTCTCCAAAATATAAATAAATAAGACATTATAAGGCTGGAAGCTGCAGAGAGAAGGAAGTGTTTAACTCCATGGACAGGGTGGAAAGGTACAGTGAGGTAGGGAAAAACTGACTATTGTATCTCCCCACCCACGTTCTTATATTGAAGTTCTAATCTCCAATGTGATGGTTGGTATTTGAGGTGAGGCCTTTGGAGGTGATGAAGTCTTGAGTAAAAATTTCTCCTATCAGAAGAGACAAGAGAGCGATGGTCCCTCCTGTGCTGTGAGATGAAGACCTGTGTCTGCCAGATGCTGTAGCACAAATGGCACAGTAAGGGGTCAGGAGATGTGCACCCAAACCCTCACTAGGTTTAGAAGTCAACTATTTCCTCTCTATCCTTCCTCCAGGCCTGGCTAATATGTCACCGTGAGAGCATTTGTTTATTATTATGTATTGTTATTGTTGTTATGGGGTGTCAGGGGATGTGCACACAAACCCTCCCTGTGTTTAGAAGTCAACTATTTCCTCTCTGTCCTTCCTTCCAGGCCTGGTTAATATGTCACCATAAGAATATTTTTTAAATTATTATGTATTGTTGTTGTTGTTATGGGGTCATACCCACCGGTCTCCGGGCTTACTCCTGACTCTACACTCAGGGATCACTCCTGGGAGGCTCAAGGGACCATTTGGGGTGCCAGGGATCCAAATTGGTTCAGCTGCATGCAAGGCAAATGTACTACCTGCTGTACTGTAGCTCCAGCCCAACATGCACTGTAGCACTGTCCTCCCGTTGTTCATCGATTTGCTCGAGCGGGCCCAGTAACGTCTCTGTCGTGAGACTTGTTGTTACTGTGTTTGGCATATTGAATACGTCACGGGTAGCTTGCCAGGCTTTGCTGTGCGGGAGAGATACTCTCAGTAACTTGCCAGGCTCTCCGAGAGGGGCGGAGGAATCAAACCCAGCTCGGCCGGGCTGGCTGTGTGCAAATGCCCTACTGCTGTGCTGTCGCTCCAGCCCCAACAACTAATATAAAATAAATTATTTACGGCCTGCTGTTGGGGTATGAGTTTATTTTATAATCATGAGTTATAATCATGCATCGCTGAATTAAGGGAAGAGGGGTGGGTGAAAGGAAAGTTTCTAAGAGGAAGCAAGTAACAGTACTGGGCTGGCAGCCAAACTAAAACAGGAAGCTGCTAGATTAGAAGCAAGAGGCTGAGGCCCCTGGTTCAGACCCACGTGAACATGAAAAGTCAGAGCTCACATCTGGGTTCTGTCTACGAGCTAAGAACTTTAGACAGAGGTCTTCTGAAATTTAAAGACACGTGACTTAGGCCAGGTTGTTTGGGGGCAAAGAGGAGGGGATGGGAATTGGGAGAGAACACTGACTTATGGTGGAAATTTAAAATTTCCACTGTTGGGTTCTCACTAAAGAAAATAATGGGGGCTGGAGCGCTAGCACAGCAGGTAGAGCGTTTGCCTTGCATGTGGCCTACCCAGGTTCAATTCCCAGCATCCTATTTGGTCCCCCTGAGCACTTCCAGGAGTAATTTCTGAGTGCAGAGCCAGGAGTAACACCTGTGCATTGCCAAATGTAAACACCCCCCACCCCCCCTCAAAAAGAGAAAACAATGGAGAAGCAGGTATGAACAGATATCTGAAAGTAACAGTTCCAAAAACAAAAGTCACACTGTGGAGGTGCGCTGGGGGTAGGGGTGGCAGGAATCTATGAGGTCACAAACTCAGAGAGTGGGATATGGACAGAAGGATCAGGCTGGCCTATGCCAGGGAAGGTCAGTTTCAGGTGCACACTCTTGGACGTGGTGCCTGCCGGTAGTGGAGACAGTCTTGCCAAAAGAAGTGAGAGCATTCTAGAGGATGGTTTTAAGAGTTCATAAGAAAGGAGGGTAACTAAGGAACAGAAGCACTTGTCAGAGGCGGTGACAACAGGCTGATCCCGCTTAGTGGGTGACCCGAAGCATTCAGAGGGGAGATTTTTCAGGACTCGGTGACAGTGACGAAAGTAGAGGGTGAGTCAAAGGTGAGGCTGTCAAGCCCCGACGGGCACAGCATTGGCCTGCCTTTCCCCACTCTGGTACATCACTTGCCTCTGTGGTTTAGGTCTGACGAATTAATGACTAGGCAGTAATTATCACAGGAGGAATTGACAAAGCAGGAAGCTTTCCCTCACTCAGCCACTGAGTCATCTAAGGTATGAGTCGTCACCACTCTGCCTGCCGGTGAAAAAGCAAAAACAAACCCCCAAAGCTGACTTGAGCTCTGACCTCAAGGAGCTTAGAGTCAAGTGAAGTAGAACAACCAGACAAACGCAGAGCAGTGGAGGAAATGAAGGGAGTGCAGGTGAAAGTCGGGAGCACACCGGATGACTGGCTAATGCCTCTCCAGGAAGGGGACTTTGGGGTAGACGCTGGTGGGGTGGGAAGAAGCCTGGCCAGGACCAGGAAGAAGATTCCAGGCAGAAGGAACGCCAGCATGTGCAAAGAAAAGCCTGATGCGGAGGACACCTGAGCCATAAAGACAGGGTTTAAAAGTGAATCTGTCCCTCAGTAGATAATGGACCACACATGATGACCTCTCAGTGTCTGTATTGCAAACCATAATGCCCAAAAGTAGAGAAAGAGTATAGGGAATATTGTCTGCCATGGAGGCAGGGGGAGGGTGGGAAAGGGGGGTATACTGGGGAGACTGGTGGTGGGGGATGTGCACTGGTGGAGGGATGGGTGTTTGATCATTGTGTGATTGTAACCCAAACATGAAAGTTTATAACTATCTCATGGTAATTCAGTAAAGTTAAAAAAAAAAAGTGAATCTGTGTTCTCCCAGTTCCAGGGTACTGGCAACAGTAGGCAGAGATGAATGAGGTAGATCCTTCTTTTTGTTCTAATTTTTTTTTCTAAACCTTTTTTTTTCCTAAACTTTTCTAAAATTTTTAAAGATGTTTTTAAAAGAAGTTTTCTAAACATTCTTTTAAAAAAATGTTTATATTAGACAAGCCCCATGATTTATAATACTATTAATGATATGGCTTCACGCATACAGCACCCCAATACCACCCCCTCCACCAGAGCACTCCCCCTCCAGTCCCCCCAAAGTGGTTCCTCTTTGAAGTGTTACTGCTGTTACTGATACTTCCTTTCTAGTTAATTAAATTCCCAAGGCAGGTAGGGAGGCTGAATAGCTGTTATTGTTCCAGTCCAGTCTGGAGAAAATCTGATAGGAACAAGGCATATGCACAATGGACATGAATTATTTAGACATTCAAAAAGGTTGACAAGGTTTAAAGTCAATGGCCCCGGGGGTTACAATGAAAGCTTCCATTTGGATAGTACTTTCCAACTTGCCAAGCACTTTCATATTCATCCCACATACGTTCATTTCATCCACAAAACACTTCACTGAAGAGAACTTGGGTTCAACAAATGCTGACACCACCTCTCCAAGGGGGCAGGCAGTGTGAATACGGAGGCTGAGTAACTTCTCTGCACTGAAACCCTTCCTGGGTGTGAAGACACCGCGAAGATGGTCCCAGGACTTCCTGAGCTGATAGTCTAATGTGAGAGGGAGACTTTGGTGAAATAACCATGTCAATGAATGCAAATTGTTATTGGGCAAAATGCCCAGGAAAAAAAGGAAGCAACTGCCACATCAGTCCATGTAAAAGAGATCTGTCCCCAGTTGCAGAGCTGGAGTAGGCTTCTCGGACAAGGGGGGCAGAGAGACGAAGGAGAGGCAGAGGTTAGAAGAAGGACCCCCAAACACCAACAACAAAAACTGTCCCTGATGCATAAGCTTTACATTTTGATGAACTATAACTTACCTTTTTCTTCTGTTCTTTGTTCTGTATGTCTTTGGTTTGGTGGCCCAGACCAACAATACTCTGGGTGTACTCCTGGCTCTGCACTCAAGGATTACTCCTGGCAGGTCTGGGGGAACCATCTGTGGTGCTAAGGATCAAACCCAGGTTGGCCACATGCAAGGCAGGCTCCCTGCCCACTAAACTATCTCTCTAGATCCTGTTCTTTGTGTCATTAACCATCATATCTAAGAAACCACTGCCCAATCCAAGATCGTAAAGCTTTACCCCCCCCCCAAATTTTCTTCTAAGTATTTTTTAAAATCCTCCAAATTCCAGTAGGCGGGGGTCACACCCACCAACTGGCCCCCTGGCGCCGTGTAATCCCATCAACGGCCAAGACTCAGAGACTATAAAAACCAGCTCCTGGAAGAGAACAGTGCAGTCTCCGCGCCTGGCTGTCCTCACCGGGGCCCCTTGGAGGGGAGCGGGTTGAGCTTTCCTCCCCGCCCCGACCAGGGCTCCGGCAGCCGAAGACCTCCAGGACCAGCCACCACCATGCTGAGACCACTCTCCGCACACATGAAGGTACTGGCAGAGGGACAAAGCCACGCGGGTTCTGGGGCCGAGATCTCCAAGCCTACTCGGATTGGGGCTGAGCATCCTCCACCCAGATCCTCCAAATTCCAGTAGGCCGGGGTCACACCCACCAACCGGCCCCCTGGCGCCGTGTAATCCCATCAATGGCCAAGACTCAGAGACTATATAAAAACCAGCTCTTTTTATGACATCTTATTATCTCATTCCTACTTTGGACAAACTGGCAGGCTTCCGAATGTAGCCTGCCCACACGGCAGAGTCTGGCAAACTCCCCGTGGCGTACCCAATATGCCAAATACCAGTAACAATGATGGGTCTCATTCTCCTAAAGAGCCTTGAATATAATCTCAGGGCTAGGATGAAGGAGACGTTACTGGGGCCTGCTCGAGGCAATCGACGAATAACAGGATGATTTGTGATTTGTGATTTTTTAAAAAGTATTTGCCACCAATGCCATGGGTAGACTCTAACCACAAATATGAACACTGCTGAAGGGTTCCAGGGAAGGCGCATGCATACCGGCTCCACTTACCAAGGCTAGCCTCGGACACTAGCAGGTAAGCAGGCACCAGCTCTACCGAACTCAGGCCAAATAAATTCATGCGGAAGCGAAGAGAATGTAAAGCCGCTGGGACAGCATCTGCGTATTTCCCTTCAAAGATGTACTTCTGGGCGATGGTGTAGCAGAATTCAATCAAATGCTTCTGTGGAAGGAAAAACGAGACCATCTAAGAGTCCAGAACAATGGTGGTCAGGGGGACACCTGGAGAAAAGGTCAACAGCTGGCAGAGGGTCTAGAGTAAGCCTGCCTGCCCACACCCAGTCTGTGTTTGGTAGGGCAGCCCTAGGCAACTGATACAGCAGGTATCCGTGCACAGAGGACGGACAGCTGATGGAATGGTGGCAAGGACATGGAGAGACAAAATCTTTGGTAGCCTAGTGATTAAACCCCTTGCTGTGGACAGTGTGACTGCATGCCTGAGTTAACCCCACGGTCCTGCAGGTCCTGCAGGCCTACCTGTCGCTGCCGAAGCTGCTGCAGCCCGTGCTGCCGCTCTTCCTCCGAATTGTAGAAGGGCATGGAAGTCCGCAGCGGGATCAGGAGCTGACAGATCTTCTCGTGGATGCTATTCCAGTCAGCTTTCTGATGAACTGGTCCACTGGCAACAAACACGAATGCCTGTTAGCTAGGCCTGATCTCAGAGTCCAGTGGCCCTACTGCTGGCCTAACTTTAATACCTAGAACCAGGAGAGGCAAAGCCAACACAATGCAGAGTTTTCTGACATAAATCTCTTTTCCTTCATGTGGTTATTTGCTGATGTAAAAACCGGGTGAGGGTCCAGGGGATGGTCTCGAGGAGGCTGTTCCTGCATATACAGGTTCACAAGGCAAAGTCACAGGGTAATCCTGGGGCAACCTGTGTTTCTGCTTAAAAAAGACATCTTTAACTCCATGTTGCCCCAAATTTTCAAAATATTTGACCAACGGAGCGGAGGGACCTGAGGGTCTTGTCCTTGGGAAAGAAAACCGAAGAGGATATTTGATGAGGTTTTAGGAGACAATTTCCTGTCACCAGAAGCTTCAACTCTGGAAGAAACTTGCACTATTTTCTGTGCTCCATTGAGCTGGTTTATGTAGAATACACCATCAGTATTCCCCCAAGCTGAGGGGTGCCGGACTTGGTCTAGAGTGGGATTCCTGTTCGGAAAACTACGTGAAATATGCTCTTACTGTTTTGACGGTGAGGAAGCTTAGGTGGGAAAAGCTTGAGACACTTAACTCTAAGTCTGACTCCAGACCCGTTTGTTTTTAACCAGAGGAAAGCACGGCGACAGTGGGTGCAAAACCTTTCACTCTTACAGGCATACTTATTATCTTTAAACACTTAGACACCACAGTCACGGAACATTTATGATACAGCAGAAAGATTGTATTGGAATTCCTACAGAGCAGCCAGTCCTATTCAGAAATAATTGTCCTGAATGACTCGAATCCCTGCAATTCTGAGCCTTTTTTCAATAGTTCTTGTTTCAGATTCTTGGAATGGGATTAAATTCACATGCCATAAAATTCACCATTTTTGTTTTTGGGGGTAGGACGGTGTTCTCAAACTTCACTCCTGGCTCTGTGCTCAGGGATCACTCTTAGCGGTACTTGGGTGACCATATGTGGTTGGTCTCAGGCACAGTTGGCCTTACCCACTATACTGTTTGTTTAACCCCAAATTCACCATTTTAAAGTGTACCACTTTAAATTCAGCGTTTTTTAATATATTCACTAGGTTGGAGATCCCTGTGTAATTTCAGGGCATTTTCATCATCCAAAGAAAAAACTCTAACAGTTACCCTCTTTTTTTTCTACCACTGATGCTCAGAAACCAATATCTAGGCATTACATATAAATGAAAACAGACAATGTAGCCTTTCATGTCAAGCTTCTATCACTCAGCATACTGTTATCAGGATTTATCCATATTTTAGCCTGCATCAAGATCATACTCCTTTTCATAAATAGCATTTCACTGTGAGATATGGAGATATCACTTTTATCCATCCCCCAGTTGGTGGGCATTTGGGTTTGTTGCTTTCACTTTTCTGCTATTCTAAATTACGCTGTTATGAATATTCATACATAAGATTTCATGCAAACATATGTTTTCAGTTCCCTTGAGTATATATATCTAAGAATAGAACTGCTGGGGCTGGAGAGCTAGTAGGGGAGTAGAGGCATGTGGCTGACCCTGGTTTGGCTGCCGGCACCACATATGGTCACCCCCCTGCCAAGGAGCCAGGAGCAGTCTCTGAGCACAGTGGGTTTGGCCTCAAAACAAAGCCAAAATTAAAAAAGAAAAAATAGAATTTCTGGGTCATATAGTAACTCTATATTTACTTTTGTGAGGCTGGCCAAGTTGTTCCCCATGGAAATTGTGAACAATTTTACATTCCCATTGGCAACTTAGAATTCCATGCTTTCTATATCCTTTAACGCTTGCGATTTTGTCTTTTTTATTATACCTAGTTAATTTTATAATTTTATTTTACCATTCTAGTTAATGTGAAATTATATCTAATTATGATTTTATCTCACATTTCCCAGTGACTGTAGCACTGACCTCCCATTGTTCATCAATTTGCTCGAGCGGGACCAGTAACGTCGCCATCGTGAGACTTGTTACTGTGTTTGGCACATCAAATATGTCATGGGTAGCTTGCCGGACTCTCCAAGAGGGGCAGAGGAATCGAACCTGGTTGGCTGCGTGCAAGGCAAACGCCCTACCACTGTGCCATCGCCCCTCCCAGTGACTAATAATGTTAAATCTTTTCATGTGTGTATTGGTCATTTATATATTTTCATTGGGAAAATATTTACTTAACTCCTTTCCCCATTCTTTAATAAAGAAATTTTTCTAAAAGGGAGAGAATTTTTGAAAACGAAAAAATTATCACAAACAGGGAAAACTCAAACGCTTGGTAATTAAAAAAATAGATTAAGAGAAATAAAGGGAGAAAAGAAAGCATGTTCTAGATATAAGGAGAAGAGGAGAGAGCCCTGTGAAGTGTTTTTTTTTTCTTTTTGGGTTACACCAGCGATGCTCAGGAATTACTCCTGGCAGTGCCTGGGGGACTCTAGGGGATGCTGGGGATTGAAACCAGGTCCGCAGCATGCAAGGCAAATGCTCTACCTGCTGTACTATCATTTCAGCCCCAGAGCCTTGTAAATTTATTTATAAAAGGCAGGCATGGCATAGCCTGCATGGGATGTGGATGCTTCCATAGTGGAATGTATATCATTGATTTTTGTCGAGTCTTCTTTTCCCCATTTTAATGGGTTCTTTTTCTTTTTTATGGTTGAGTTTAACGTTTTTTCATATCCCAGTGTCTGTATTGCAAACCAGAATGCCCAAAAGTAGAGAGTGAGTATGGGGAATATTGTCTGCCATGGAGGCAGGGGGAGGGTGGTGAAGAGGGGTATACTGGGGAGATTGGTGGTGGGGAACGTGCACTGGTGGAGGGATGGGTGTTTGATCATTGTGTGATTGTAACCCAAACATGAAAGCTTGTAACTTTCTCACGGTGATTCAATGAAATTTTTTTTAATTTAAATAATTTTTTATGTCCTAAAATACCAGAATGTAACTTGCAATTATTTATTTCCATCACATGGTTTTTCTTTTCACTCTCTTTTTAAAAATAAAACTTATTTTAGACACTGTGATTTACAATACTTTAATGACAGGGTTTTATGCATACACATAGTGTTCCCACACCACACCCTCCAACCAAGTGTCCCTCGCTTCATCCCACTCTGCCACCTTTGAAGGTCCGGTCTTTCCATTGGCTTGATAGATTCTCGAAAGCACACGAGCTTTGATTATTGATGGTGATCTATGCTCTTTTTGGTTCTTTATGCTTTTGGTGTTAAAGAAACAGAGCCTAATCAAAGATTACATATTTATGTATCCTTCAAAAAAATTTTTTTTATAATTTTAACTCTTATGTTTGGGCCTCTCTGTAGATGTAAAAGGTACAAGTTTATTCCCAACACTGATTTTAGTAATTTGAGTCTTCTCTTGGTTGGTCTAGCCAAAAGTTTGTCAATTTTGTTCATCTTTTTTAAAGAACCAACTGACTCCGCTTTGATCCAAGTTTTTCTAGTCTGTATTTCATTTATGCAGCTCTATTTCATTTATCTTGGCTCTTCTCTTTAGCAAGTCCTGCCTTTTGCTAAATGTGGGATTGAGTTTACTCTTCTTTTTTTCTAGGTTCCTGAAGTAGAAGACTTGATTTGAGATCTTCCATTTTTTAAACATACATGTTTACAGCTAAAAATACCCCTCCAAGTTTTACTTTACTTTCTCTGCTTACTAAAATTTCAAGTGGGTTGTTTTCATGTTTCATTTATCTCAAAGAATTTTTATTTTGCTCTGTGATTTCACAAGGCAAACGCCCTACCGCTGTGCTATGGTGGAGTGATAGCACAGCGGTAGGGCGTTTGCCTTGCACGCAGCTGACCCAGGCCGACCCCAGTTCGATTCCTCCACCCCTCTCGGAGAGCCCAGCAAGCTACCGAGAGTATCTCGCCCACACGGCAAAGCCTGGCAAGCTCAGCGTGACGTATTCGATATGCCAGACACAGTAACAACAAAGTCTCCAATGGAGACGTTACTGGGCCCGCTCGAGCAAATCGATGAACAATGGGAGGGCCTTTACTTTACTTACTTTACTGTGATTTCAATCCATTGGCTCTCTTAGTGTTATTTCCACACATTCACAAATTCCCCAAATTTTTTTCTTGTTATTATTAATTAGATACATTAAAGGCCATGTTTTGTATGATTTTTATCTGTATAAATTTATTGAAGTTTTTTTTGCTTTTTTTTGGGGGGGGGGTCACACCCGGTGATACACAGGGGTTACTCCTGGCTCATGCACTCAGGAATCACTCCTGGCAGTGCTCAGGGGACCATATGGGATGCTGGGAATCAAACCTGGGTCGGCCGCATGCAAGGCAAACGCCCTACCCGCTGTGCTATCACTCCAGCCCCTACTGAAGTAAGTTTTATGTTTTGACATGAATCTACCCTGGAGTGTTACATATTCACTACAGAAGAATGTGGACTCTGCTGTTAGTAGGCTTTAAGCTTGTTAAACCTATTTGGTTGAGTTTTCTGGATTCTTAGTTTTCGTGATGATTTTCTATCAAGTTGTTCTGTTATACATTACTGAAAATAACATATTGAAGTGAACTTTTCTGTTGATTTTTTGCTATGCTCTGGGCTTACTTTTAGCTCTGTGTTCAGGGATCAGTCCTGGCGAGCTTGGGGGACCATAAGTGGTACCAGGGATCAAATTCAGTTGGCTGCAGGCAACTGTACCCACTGTACTATCTTTCTGGCCCCTTGAAATGAACTATTATTGAATCATTTATTTCTCCCTTTAACTCTGCCAGTTATTGTTTCATGTTTTGAGACTCTGATGTTGGATATTAACATCATGAGTTTTCTATTGCCAAACACTTTAAAAAAACAACTAAATGTGAGAAAGTTAACTGTTTTATCCCATTTATAGCTATTTCAAAACAGGTAACAATTTTCTAGGGTAGGGATCAACTAGCTGTTGTTTAAAGAGCTAGAGAGTAACAATTCTAGACCTTGAGAATTGCATGGTCTCTCCTGTGCGAAGGCCAGACTACCCAAGGTTCAGACAGACTGCTTCATGACGTTCCAGACAGGCCTTCCAGCAGTGTGCCCCTCTGGCACATGGGTTATTTAAAGCAGAGATAAAGTGAGGCCCTGTGCGTTGACGAAACCTCCTAACTACCAAGAGATGAAACTCGGGCCTCATACCTACAAAGAATGAGGACTGTTATAAGAAATACCTTTTCATTGGAGAAAACTCCCTGTCAAAGCCAACATCTCATTACTGAGCATCTGGTCTTCATCGTAAGTCACCCTCTCCCACTTCCTTTCCCATAAAATCCAAAGGCCCCTTTCTCATTCCTGAACTTGCGATACACGCACTCCTTGTGCCCTGTTGGCTTTATAGTCCACTTCTAGGTAGAGTCTTCAGGTGTATGAAATTAAACTTACTCTTTTGTCCCACTCATCTCTCTGATGCTCACTGATTGCTCAACCTGAGAAGGGAGAAGAATGTGGAAGGGAGGGACAAATTTCCAGGCTGTCCGCGAACACCCTCTCTCCTTTCTTCCCTCTGGGATCAAAGCAGTGCAAGCACCGTATGGTCTTTACAAATGGAGAGCACTGTGGAAATGACATTAAGTATATAAAGGATTTTTCAAATAGACAATTACAGTAAGCACAAGCAGTAAACGCACTTAACAGTCAGGACAGAGAAACAGAAGCATCCCACGGGGTATTTATGACATAGGGGTTTGTTGAGTCATGTGTGAAGCGCTTGAAAATATTAACTTGCTTAACTGCTTGAACTTCTTTTCAACTGAAAGCATTTGCATATCTTGCCTTTCTAAATAAGGTGGGTTTTATTTATATATTTGTGAGATCCCTCCATATTCATCTGTCTCACCCGAAATACCCAAACACAGGGTCCTACAAAAAAAAGAGAAAAAAAAAAGTTGAAAAATATGTTCTCAATCAGGGCTCACAATCAAGCAGCGTGTGAGCCAGACGTGTTTTGTTTGGCCACTGTTGTGTTTTATAAAACTGAATTTGATTGTCTTTAGGTAAAGGCATTTATTCTCCAGTTCACTGCTGCTTCCTGCTATTGGATATCACATCAGTGTTCTCTCATTCTGGCCAGTGAAGGCATTTTAATTTTTGTCCAGTATGTTAAGTAAAAGAAAAGATTATCACAAGTGACTCGTACCTACATGGCTGTAATTTACTAACCTACAGTACTAAAGTTTCTTTTACCTTGCTGCCATGTTTCAGTGTGTATTTTAATGTCTTTTCTTTAAAATCTATTTCCTGGAAGCAGTTTCAAAATGCAATACATAATTATAAGCATACAATTATACTGATGACAACTTACTAATCTTTGGGCTATGGAATAATAGATTTTTTTCTCTTTTAGCTTTTGAATTTTCAAATATTCCACACGGAAAATGAATTATGATTATAATCAGGAAAAATTCTTTTGCAAAAATATCTAGGAGCTGGAGATAAAAATTAATTGGGCTACAGCATATACTTTGCATGCAGGAGGCCCAGGATTGATCTCCAGAACCACATGATCCTTTGAGCAATGTCAGGAGTGACACCACCCACCACCACCACCATGTAATGAGCAGGAAGCAGCACAGAGCCTCGCTGGATGTGGCCCCAAAACAAACCAAATATAATTGTTACAAACTTAAGTTGATTATCGTATCTGTTACTATATTTGTTGATTATTTTTAAAAGATTTTTTTTCCTACCAGCACACTCTTCCCCTCACCCCATTTTATTACCCTTCCAGCCAAAAGTAATACCTTCTCCTCTCAACTCACTTTGCAGTTTGTGTGCACCGCCTAGACTAGATTTTCAGACAGATCTTCTTGAGGAAATAACATTTAAACTAAGAACTTCAGAATGAAAGAGACCAGTTAAGATTCCTCGTTGAAAGGGAGGTCTAGTCTCCAACAGATGGAATGATTTAGGCGAAGAAATTGAGGGAAGAAGGGGCTTTAAAAATCAGGCGCTTGAGAGATAGTAGAGTGGGTAGGGTCCTTGTCTTGCACACAGAGGACCTAGGTTCAATCCTGAGCATCCCTTATGGTCCCCTGAGCATCAGCAGGAGTTTTTCCTGGGAGTGGAGCCAGGAGTAAGCCATGAGCATCACCAGGTGTGACACAAAGACAAAAAAGAAGCAAAAGAAAATCTCTGTAACTACATCAAGGAAAAGCGGGGTATGTGTGGAGAGACATAAGAGATAGAGTTTGTGGTACATGCTAAACTGCATTCTTGGGGCTGGAGAGATAGCACAGCAGGTAGGGTGTTTGCCTTGCACGCGGCCGACCCGGGTTCGATTCCCAGCATCCCATATGGTCCCTGAGCACCGCCAGGAGTAACCCCTGAGTGCAGAGCCAGAAGTAACCCCTGTGCATCGTCGGGTGTGACCCGAAAAGCAAAAAAAAAAAACCAAAAAACCTGCATTCTATTTTATTTGCTCGAGCGGGCCCAGTAACATCTCCATTGGAGACTTTGTTGTTACTGTGTCTGGCATATCGAGTACTCTCGGTAGCTTGCCGGGCTCTCCTAGAGGGGCGGAGGAATCGAACTCGGGTCGGCCATGTTGGCCGCTTGTAAGGCGAATGCCCTACCCGCTGTGCTTTGGGGGCTATACCTGGCAATGTTCAGATAATACTCATGGTTCAGTGCTTGGGGGGTTACTCCTGGCTATGTCTTGGATATCAAGTTGTACCAGGGATCAAACCCAGGTCTCCTGCATGCAATACATGCCCTGATCTGTCTGAGCTCCCTCTTCAGTTGCATCTAATTGCAATGAAGAAACAGCAACAACCACATAGCCCTTGCCCTCATGGAACACAGAGCCTGCTGAAAACGACAAACCATGTTACAGTCCCTTCCAATGCAGCCATCAGTGTTAGAACAGAGGATGTATTCGTGCTGGAATAGCACTGAGGGGAAATTTATGCCTTCTGGACGATGCAACAACTACACGGCTTCAGTGCTTGCCTTTCTATCTGTCTTTCACTCTGCTGTCATCCTTCCTTAACAAAAATAGCATGAGTAGCATGTCAGTGCTCCCCATGGCCTCTCAAGGGATAAATGCCAAAATCCTTGGTCTCAGGTCACTAGTTGGCCCTAACTCTCATCTTTATGGTTTAAATTACTACTACTATTTAGCATAATGATTTTCAACTTTTTGGACTCAAGTCCTAGTTAAAAATACATCTCAGTACAGATGTCCACAGAAAACAGTGAAACAAACGTTTGCCCAAATTCAAGTTTCCTTTCTATATAATTTTCTTCTTTAATTGGCGGTGGTGATTTTTTTTCCTGACCTGCTAGTGGGTTCTGAACTAAAACAGAAAATCCAGCAACTGCGACCTCCACTACTTTTCTCAGCTCTCAAAAAAATGCTTTTCTTTCATTCAAGCATGCCCAGCCCTTCCTTCTTCATTGTTTGTTCAGGGCAAACTTGCTAGGACAAGTTCCTACTGACCTTTCAAGACTCAGTTCAAACGGAACTTTTTTCAGAGAAAACATTCCCGACACTGCCCTAGTGACTAGACATTCAGCTCAGAGTTCCCAGATCTCTCCCTGTCTCAGCAACAGCCTTGCCGATTGACAGCCTTGCCCTGTGGAGTCTACAATAATGATGTTTATTTGGGGCTGGGGGAAAACAACCCTGGCTGTGCTCAGGGCTTACTCCTGGTCCTGTACTCAGGGCTCATTCCTAGGAGTGCTCATACAAGGCACCTGGGAGGGCTACAGGCAACGCCTACCATTTCTGGGCCCTGCACCTTCCTTTGTCTCCAGATCAATAGGCAATTGGATATAGATCAATAGGTAATAGGAATAGATCAATTTCCTTTGTCTTCTTGGCATTGAGCCCACTCTGAAATCATCTTGTTTCCCCGCTCTCTACTTGATCACTTTATTATTTTTGCTTTTTTTTTGGGTCACAACCGGCAATGCACAGGGGTTACTCCGGGATCTGCGCTCAGGAAATACCCCTGGCGGTGCTCAGGGGACCATATGAGATGCTGGGAATCGAACCCGGGTCGGCCGCGTGCAAGGCAAACGCCCTACCCCCTGTGCTATTGCTCCAGCCCCTACTTTGATCGCTTTAGAAATTTAGCAGTTACGTACTGGAGGCAGTAATGCCAGTATAAGACAGTGCATCAGAGAGCAGAGACTGGATACGAGGGGGAGCAAGTGGGTTCACAGATGTCTCAAAGCCCCCAAGCCACCTTGAAGGAACCTTGGTCGAGGCCGAAGAGATGGTAGCGTGGAGGGGGCCTTTGCCTTGCACGCTGCCGAGCGGGTTTGATCCCTGGCATCCCGTCTGGTCCACCAAGCTCCGCCTGGAGTGTGCCCGGAGTGCAGACCCCAGGGCAAAGGGGTGCCCCCAGCCCCGCCGCCAAAGGGACACACACTACAACACTGTGCGAGGCCCAGTGAGTGCCCGGGAGAGGAGTCTACTGGGGGTAGCGCTGTTTCAGGGCCTACCAGTAGTAAGTGACCGTGCAGGCCGTGCACACCCGCTCGGCGGGGGCTTCGCACACCTCGCAGCGGAGCCAGCGCCCCTTGGGCACCGCCAGCGGGTAGATGATGTTCATGCCGCAGCGGGTCGCGCTGGCTGGTCTCTAGGGCGGTTGCCAGGCGATGCTGGACGCCGGAGTCGCAGGAACGAGGTCGCCCGGTACCCGGGGCTTACGGGGCAGGGCAGAGGCGTGGTTGGACCGGCGGCACTTGGGAACTTGCGTTTAGGGGGTTAAAGAAAAACCCAAAGCAAAGACTGGCCGCTCCCAGGGAGTCCCCAAGCCGGGCGTGCTAACAGCTCCCGAGGAGTCCGAGTCCAGGAAGGTCCCGATGGTGGCCAGGAGGGGTCAGACCCAGTCGGTTCCTTCCCCCCGGGCTCCGAGGCTAACGTCAGGGGCGTGACCCTTCCCGAGGCCCGTCCAGCCGAGCGCTGGCGTCAGCGCGGGGTCAGCTCGGCCGGGCGGCGCGCGGGACGGGCGGGCGGAGGCGGCGGCGGCCGGCCGCCCGCCCGCTCCCGACTGCGGCTGCGCGGGGCCAGGTGCGCGGCCGGGGGAGGGGGCGTGGCCGGGGGCGGGGCGGGGCCGAGGGAGAGGGCGTGGCCGGCGCGTGCGCAGGCGCGGGCGCGCCCGGGACTAATGGCGGAAGCGGACCTGGTCGCCGAGTTTCCCCGGCCGGCCGGGGCTGCTCGCTGGGCCGAGGTCATGGCTCGCTTCGCCGCGGGGCTGGGCGCGCAGGGCCGCCGGGTGGTGTTGGTCACGTCCGGCGGCACCAAGGTCCCGCTGGAAGCGCGGCCGGTGCGCTTCCTGGACAACTTCAGCAGCGGGCGGCGCGGGGCCACTTCGGCCGAGGCCTTCCTGGCCGCCGGCTACGGGGTCCTGTTCCTCTACCGCGCCCGCTCCGCCTTCCCCTTCGCCCACCGCTTCCCTCCCCAGACCTGGCTGTCCACCCTGCGGCCCTCGGGGCCCGCGCGCTCCGGCCTGCTCAGCTTGGAGGCCGAGGAGAACGCCCTCCCGGGCTTCGCGGCGGCTCTGCGGAGCTACCAGGAGGCGGCTGCCGCGGGCACCTTCCTGGCCGTAGAGTTCACCACTCTGGCCGACTATCTGCATCTGCTGCAGGCGGCGGCGCAGGCCCTCAGTCCGCTAGGTGCGTGCCCGGGGAGCCCCCCGCCGGCCTGCAGGCAGAGCCCTGCCCGCCCCCCCCCCCCCCCGCCGCCCCCCAGGCGCGCACGGCACTTGCACCCCGTCCTGACAGCCCGGGAGCTCCAGCTGCAAACGGGAGCGTGTCCCCCCCCCAGCCCCCCAGACGAGCTCGTCCCGTCCCGCTCCCTGATTCACCCCCCACCGTGTGCTTCTCTTTGCAGGCCCTTCTGCGATGTTTTACCTGGCTGCGGCCGTGTCAGATTTCTATGTTCCTGTCTCTGAAATGCCTGAACACAAGATCCAGTCATCTGGGGGCCCACTGCAGGTGATGGGCGCTTCTCTGCCAGAGATCTGGTCCCCTCTAACCAACCCTGGGTTCATTCCCTCTTGATCTGGAGATGGCCTTTTCTGCATTCCTCCTTGTGCTAGGCACTAGGGATACAGAGCTGAATCAGACACCGCCCTCCCTCAAGGACCTCACTCTCGAAGTGAGGGAGCTGGACACAGGCATAATTACAGTACAGAGTGATCCATGCTCTAGGAGAGGTACGTACACCACGCAGTCAGAGCCTGGGGTGAGTCTCGAGGAGAGGTTTTCTTGGTGGTGGCTTGAATTGTAAAAAAAAAGAAAAAAAAAAGAGGAGGCGAGGGGAGACCGGCGCTGGTAGAGAAGGTGTCACGTCGAGCAGAGGGCACAGCTGGGCCTTGGGCATAGGCTGTGTGCTGGGTGTGGATGGAGAGCCCCCAGAGAGAGCCCTGGGGCTCTGGAGCAGACTGGAGGCAGCTGGCTTTCTAGAAGACGTTCTGTTCTTTAAGGAACTTGGGCTTTCTCCCCGGACCCTCCAGCCTAAGGTCATACAAGTGGGAGAATGAGCTAAGGGTCCCCCACCCCAGAGAAGGTTCCTGCATCAGTAGGAGTGAATTCGAGTGAAGGGTGTAGATTCGTTGGCAGGTCTTTAGTTATTTGCTGTCCTTTAAGGGAGTTTTGCCGGGAGAGAGCAGGGATGTGGTTGAGACGTTGGTGCCTCCTGGAACCTGGAGGCTTCTTGTTCCTGATGGAGTGACAAGGTAGATTTTAAATATGAAAAATGGGCAGGAGATAAACTACAGCATGTACAGTGCTAGCTTTGCGTGTGGCCAGCCCTGGGTTTAATCCTTAACTTCCCACATGGTCCCCCGTGCACCACCAGGATTAACATCTTGAGCATCACCTGGAGTGTCCCAAAGTCCAAAAATAAATAAATATGAGAAACTATTGGTGGGACACTTGCTAACTTTATAGGATAGCTCATTCGTTCATTTCTCCTGTGGAGTACCTAGTATTATGCTAGGTTTATTCTAGAACTTGGAAATAGAGCAGTGAAAAAAATACATAGCTTGTCCTTGTGCTGTGTAGAGTCTTCAGAGGAGACAATAAGTCATGTTGTCTCCTTCTGCTAACTTACTGTGATCCCCTGAGAATTTCTAGGAATAATCCTGATGCCATGCTAGGTGATCATAGATGCTCAGAAGAAACCAAGGATGGTGATTGCCAATGTCATTACTATCACACTTGTTCACAACATATTGTGGGGAAATCTAATTAATAGTGGTTTTATATATTTTAAACTCTGGGAAATTAAGCTTACTCATTATTCAGTTCTATTTGAAAAAAAAAATTACCTACCCCTTAGACGGTATGGAGAACCATACGTAGGAGTTTTGATCAAGTGAGAATAAAGACCAGTTTTCTTTCCTCAATGCTAACTCAGTGTTAGAAGCGTGACAATTTTTTTTCAAATGGAATCAATAATTCTAGCAGTGCTGAGTGATTTTGAAAGTTCATAGGGCTAGGGGGTACTACACTGCCAAAAAAGAAACAAAATACAACTTTATTGAGCCCAAAATCATGTTTGCATGAACGAATGGTTTGCATTGGAGGGGGTGATTTTAAAAATAAAGAGGGTGACACCAAGAAAGAGGGATAGGTGCTTGCCTTGCATACAGCTGGCCTTATTTCCATCCCTGGCACCACATACGATCTTTCTAAAACCAGGTGAGATCCCTGAACACAGAATCAGGTATAAGCCCTGAGTATTGGCAGGTGTGGCCCCAAACCAATAATAATAACATAATAATAAAGGAGGATATTTGAGAAAATGAAGTTCTAAAGATTCAAAATGATGACTGGTCACGGGGGTTAGAGCATCATTCGAAAACCCTGTGGTTTGCCTTCCATTATAAAGCCTTTAAATTTGATCTAATTATGAACCCTAGAGCACCCAGGTTTCTACGCTAAGCATTTTATATGTTGTGAAAACCCCAATCATTAGAAATGCTATTTAAATCAACAGCCAAAACTATTTGAGTTCCTTCTTCCGAAGTTCCTCGTGAGATTGACCTGGGAGCCTGTGACCGTTGTTTGCTTATTAAGGTTTTTCTGTTTCCAATACAGATAACAATGAAGATGGTACCAAAAATGCTTTCTCCTTTGGTTAAAGACTGGGCTCCCAAAGCATTCGTAATTTCTTTTAAGTTGGAGACGGACCCTTCCATCGTAATTGATCGGGCACGGAATGCTTTGGATGTTTACCGGCATCAAGTGGTGGTGGCTAATATCCTTGAGTCGCGAAGATCCTTTGTGGTTATTGTCACCAAAGACTCAGAAACTAAGTTATTGCTATCAGAAGAAGAAGAAGAAAAAGGTGTAGAGATAGAAGAGAAGATAGTGAATGATCTTAAGTCTCGACACACAGCTTTTATGTGCGACAAAAACTGAAAAAGCCTTTCGTAGAGGATGAAAACTTGTTCAGTGGACCAGGGCTGACAGACGGTGAGAACCAGAATAAGTCCTTTGCTTTCGTAAATTCAGAATGAAAGGAAAAAACAGTGATTAATCTTCAGGGTTTTGCTTTGGTATTTGTCTTCTCAAGGCCGTTTTATACTCACTGAAAATGAGAACAAAGGCAAAACCATTATGACTGAACCGGCTAACATATGTCTGGATATGATCTTGAATTTGAAAATGAACACAGACAGTTTCTCACTTTTTTCAGAGGAGCTTATTGGAAATTGTATCTCTCAAAATATATCTGTGAGGGCTGAAAATCTTCATACTGTAAAAGAATTAAAGAGAGAGGAGTGATAGGACAATGGGGAGGGTGTCTGTCTTGCACTCGGCCGACCCGGATTCAGTCCCCGGCATCTCGTATGGTCCCATGAGCACCGCCAAGAGTAATGCCTGAGTGTAGAGCCAGGAGAAATCCCTGAGTATCGATGGGTGTGACCCAAAACAGGAAAAAAAAAAAAGAAGGATGTATAAATGATCTTTGAAAATCAAACATTTATTGGTATCTACTATATGCTAGGCTGTGGGAATTACGAGGATTCAAGAAATGAATAAATGTGTAGTCTGGGACATGAATCTATAAAAAAAAAATTAAGTGCAATAAATAAACAATGTGCCCAAAAACTGATGCAGTAGAAAGGATGTGTTGTTTTTGTTTTCAGTTTATGGAAGATGGGAGCAAGAAAAACACTTCCCTGAAGATAGATTAACCTGTCCAGCAGAGGTTCATAAATTTGGTTGACCTACTAACCCCTTTTTAGAAAAAAAATTCCTCAGTATACGCGTGTGCATCTTTGTTCTTTAAGTGAATAAACAAAATATCCTCGAGTTGCACCATACCACTACACTCCAAGTTCCAACACCCCTCTTCCCTCCCTCCCCACCTCATATAATATCACCTGCTGTGGGAAACAACTGCTCTGGTGATGAACTTTCCCCTACATGTGCTTTTTGCATCTTTTTCTAGATTCACTTCTTATTTGGGTTCATTTACCATTCAGGGGCTGGAGCGATAGCACAGCGGGTAGGGCGTTCGCCTTACAAGCGGCCAACATGGCCGACCCGAGTTCGATTCCTCCGCCCCTCTCGGAGAGCCCGGCAAGCTACCGAGAGTATTCGATATGCCAAACACAGTAACAGCAAAGTCTCCAATGGAGACGTTACTGGGCCCGCTCGAGCAAATCGACGATCAACGGGAGGGCCTTTACCTTTACCTTTACCTTTACCATTCAGATATTTAGGACTACTTTTGAAACTTAACCTAGGACTGGGTAGGGGCAAACGGTAACATCTTCCCTAAAGCAGCATTAATAAAGAGTCTGGGCTTTGGAGTCATTTCGACCAGATTAGACCTTTTCAGCTGTGCGACTTGTTTTGTGAATTTATACAAATGACTTAAACTCAATTTCTTTAAATAATGGGGTTAATAAATCTCTGCAAAGTAATTCTTTTTGCTGTGAGGATTAAATTTAGCATTATAACACATTAGTGTGAGGCCTGGCACATAAATCACACGCATTAAGTGGTTGCCTGGATTTTCTCACTTAGCAAGGCAGTACCCTGGTCTTTGAATTATTGAGAGGCTTTCCAAGCTCCTCTGTTTGGGGTTTTGTTTGGGGTTGGGAGTACACAAGAATTGAAGTTCAAAAAAATTTCCTAAATTATTGGTGCAGCCTGAAATTTGAAAAAGTAAAAACACACCATAAAGATCAAAAGGTGCTGTGATTCACATTTGGCAAAAAACACAACTTGTGATATTTTATGGAGTCGGGAAGAACAGTCCAGAGTATTGTATCTAACAAGAGTATATGCGTATGTGCTTTGAGCTTTGGACTTTGAGGCTGCACTTGGCAGTGCTCAGAGGCTACTCCCAGATAAGTGCTTGACGGTTACTTCCAGCCATGCACAAGGGGACCACGTGGCATCAAGGATCAAATCTAGGACTCCTAGTGTGAAATGTGTACTCCAGCCCTCTAAGCTGTTTCCTGGTCCAAAACATTAGAGTTGAAAGATTTGAACAGAATGTTAATATTCACTGAAGTACTTTATGGAATGAGAAGTGTGACCTTGCGCATAGAAAAATACTGTAGCAATCAGGACTGTTCTGGAATGAGGAGTACCATTGGGTGATATTTTTAAATTAACTTAAGGTCCAGTTGGCAAAACCTCACAAGCAGCAGGCTACTTATTGGCAGTGGCTGCAGTACTGAAGTAGAGGGCAAAAGATTCTGATGCTCTTCCCCACATTTATATCTTCATATGAACAATGATGGCAATTATCATCTTTGAATGTCCAATGAAGGCATATGTAGTTAAAAATAATGATTTGGGTTTTTTTTCTAACATAACTTCCTTTGGAGTCCTGTCTTCCTAATGCTCAAAAACAATCAGCACTTCCCTAGGTGAAATTTAAGTATTTCCATTTCAGCTGTTTCCTCAGAACACTTAAATGGTACTTTCGTATGTAAAATTTACAGAAGTATTTTATGTAACAGAAAGCGGGAATGTGTGAAGAAAATGTAACCAAAAGAAACATGAGTCAATGAGAACAACTAAACGATATAGGTTAGAGGAACCAAAAACCGCTTTCCTGAGGAAGTGAGAAGTGTCCTTGAATTGACATGGAGGACTAAAGTGATGGCAGTTGCATTTTAGATCAGGAAAAAAAAAAACTGTAAAATCTTATCACGCCAAAGGTTGTATGTTCACGGGCTCACTGGACGACACTGTTTCACCGCCTACGTTAGGTGCTCTTGAGCCACTGTGTGTGGCCTGGATCGGAACGGCTGTTGGCCAAGGGCAGACGGAAGAAAAAACGGGGGCCAGGCCGGTCTATATCAATAGTAGTTTATTCCAATCCTCTTCACTCCTGTCTTTCTCTGCCTCCTTCTCTCCTGTGCCCCAGTCTTGGAAGCTCTCTCCTTCTGGCTCTGACTCTGGATCTCTGGAGCCCGAGCTCTCTCACTTCTGACCCCTTTTCCGAGCTTACGTCTTAGTTTATATAGCAGTCACATAAGGCGGTGACATAAAGGTGGGTTGAATACTGACGAATCAACAAAGAGAGGTAAGACCACTCCTCCAGGAGATTAACTCAAGGATAAAATCTCATCTACAGAGATTACTTCAGATTACTAGGGGATCCACCCAAGGGTGGGATCCCAACAAGGGTGTGTTCTTCCTTCAGTTAGTAATCTACTTAAATAGTTGTAATAAATCTACTTCTAATATTTCTAGCAATGTCATTCTGTATGAGCACAGTAAGAGATATAAATTTAGTTTGGTTCTTCCTGAGAACATCTCACTATACATTTCGCAGTCCTCAGGCCAGGTTAATCTTCCTAGCTCCAGCAGGGTCCTAGTCTCGTCGTTACTTACTTTTGGATCATGACAGCATTTGTCCATGATCATGCCCTCAACTTATAGTTGAGTATCGTGGCTCTTTGGCCTGGCCCATTTCGATGCCAGGGTAGCTCACTGCTTGCCCTGGGTCCATTCAGTTCCTCGTCGGGACCTTGCTTTTGGGGTGCTAGGAACTAAGGGCAACTGAGTCAAGAAATCAGATGCCCAGGAGTAAATATTATTCGGAGTCAATCAACTCCCAAGTTACAAAGCATAATATTAACTGTCTTCCTGTGTCCACACAGACAGGACATTGCTTACAATACAAGTTCAGTGTTCTTAGATGGGTGTGACCTGACAAACCTAAGCTACCTGAGGAAGGACAAAAGAGTGTTATCCTACAACCAACCCCCAACAACAGCAAAACAGTTGGAAGTGCTCTGATATGAGAGAGGTTGCAGCACTTTAGAAAATAAGGGATAATATTGCTTATATCCAGATAATGAATGTAGCACTAGAAAAGCTTTGGAAGAAATCCCTGGGAAACCAGAGCAAGACTAAGAAAGGTAAATACTGTGTTTGGAGTACAGGAGAGAATAAGGATCTGCACAACAGGAGTAAAACTAAGCTTCAAAGCACCAACTCAAATCTTGTAATATAAGCGTGCAATGAATATGATATAAATTGAGCCAACACTAACATTTGTGCCATTTAGAAATGATTGTTTTGCATGAGGTAGGAGAAGTGTACATAAGATTCGCCTAAATTCAATGCTCAGAACTTCTAAAGGGCTTCAGCCATAACGTTAATTCTAAGGAAGTTTAATTTTTCACCTTTACAATAGTAAGTCGGGTTCAAAAGTGTGCAATGAATATGATATAAATTGAGCCAACACTAACATTTGTGTCATTTAGAAATGATTGTTTTGCATGAGGTAGGAGAAGTGTACATAAGATTCGCCTAAATTCAATGCTCAGAACTTCTAAAGGGCTTCAGCCATAACGTTAATTCTAAGGAAGTTTAATTTTTCACCTTTACAATAGTAAGTCGGGTTCAAAAGTGTGGTGAGGGGCCAGGAAATGATGGGTCTAGGTACAGGATGGCATCCCAGATTCCATCCCCTCCCTGATGGTTCCGGACCATCTCCTTCCCTGCATAGTCAGGGATGCACTTGAGCACGTGCTAAAAGTGTACCCGGGATCGTATATGTGCCTCAGAGAGAGAGGGTCAGAGCTAGACCTAAAACTCAAAACTTCTGACCGAGGGACCTAAGCGATAGTACAGTGGAGAGGGCATTTGCCCTGTTCGAGCCTTGGCTTCCCATACGGTCCCCTGAGCCTGTCAGGAGTGATCACTGCGTGCAGAGCCAGGAGTAACAAGTAATCCCTGAGCACCAACGGGTGTGACCCCAAAACTAAGATAAAATTTAAAAAAGATCCAAAACCCAACCAACTTCTGACTCAGCGGCTTCTCCTTTTGAAAGTGGAATTCTAGGGGCTGGAGAGATAGCACAGCGGGTCGGGCGTTTGCCTTGCACGCAGCCGACCGGGGTTCGATTCCCAGCATCCCATATGGTCCCCTGAGCACCGCCAGGAGTAACTCCTGAGTGCAGAGCCAGGAGGAACCCCTGTGCATAAAACAAAAACAAAAAAAAAGTGGAATTCTAGAAAAATAAATCCGAACTCCAGGATTGACTCCGGATGAGGTCTGGAAGCCAACCGAGGTCCGTAAAAGCCAGATGCGCGGTGTCCCGCGGCCTGGCGTTACCATGGTTACCGCACACCCAATGGAATGGACCGTGCCCGCTGGGAGCGCCCCGCCCCTCACCCGCCGGGGGCCAATGGCGTGCTGCGTAGCGCGGTCCTCACCGGAAGGCCCGCCCCGCGCGCCGCCTGTCCGCGGCGTGCGTCGTTGCTATGGTTCCCGCCGGGCTGACGCTTCGGCGTCTCTGCGCCCCGCGCGGTTGCCATGACGCCCGAGGCTCCCTAGGCACCTGCTGCGGGCGGCGGGGGGCGACCCGGGGCTCGCCCGTCGCGGGGGTCCTGGGCTTCCGGTCCCGGCCTCCGGGAGAAGAGCGACTCCTCCTCGCGTGACCCTCTCGCCGTCCGTCCCCGCCGCGGCTCTCCCCAGCATGGGAGCGAGTGGCCCCAGCTCCAGGGGCAGAGCCTCTCCCGGCCCGGCCCTCCGAGCCCCGGATCCGAGTCGCTGGGCCTGAAGAGGGGCGCGCGAGTGGGACCCGGCGGCCGCGTCCTCGGCGTGTAGGGTAGGTGTTCCTCGGCGTGGCAGGCGGCGGTGTCCGAGCGCCAGGCCTCACCCGGGCCACCGATCCCCCGCTGCCCTGGCTGCAGGCCCACGGACAGAGAACGGCCGTGTTCTTTTTTTTTTCTTTTTGCTTTTTTGGGCTCACACCCGGCGATGCACATGCACAGGGGTTACTCCTGGAATTACCCCTGGAGGTGCTCGGGGGACCACATGGGATGCTGGGAATCGAACCCGGGTCGACCGCGTGCAAGGCAGACGCCCTACCCGCTGTGCTATCGCTCCAGCCCCCGAACGGCCGTGCTCTGATGTTCTGATGGGTGCTTCTGGTATGGGTTGGGTTGGGGTTTTCGTCCTGCGTGCATCCTGCAGAACTTCAGAGCCCAAGGAAGCTCTGGAGGCCTCCTGTATCCATCCTCAGCCTCAGACGTCATCAAGTCATCAAGTCACTTCCAGGCCTTGCAACTTGCAACCCCCCATCCGCTTCCCGTCTCCCCGGGCACCTATTTGGGTTTGTTGTTGTTGTTGTTGTTGTTGATTTGTTTTGCTTTGCTTTGCTTTTAGGACACACCTGGCTATGCTCAGGGCTTACTCTGGGTTCCGCACACAGGAATCACTCCCGGTGGTGCTCAGGGGACCATGTAGGCTGCAGGGGATCGAACCCAGGTCGGCTCAGACGCTGTGTTATCACTCTGGCCCCTGGGAACCAGTTTCACCAGCCTGCTCTGTCCACAGCCATTTTCACCCTTTCTTGTTGATTCTGCACTTTACTGCATGCCGGTACATCTCCACCATTTCTGTCACCTTTTTTGCTACGATGCTTTGTGCCGTTACGTATTTCTCGTTCTTGGCCTGGGAAATATTTGGCAGATTCTTCTTCTCTGCAGCTGCCTTGTAGCATGCTTTCTATCTTGAGAAAAAAACTAAAGGCTAGACTGTAGAAGCACCACGTTAGTAAGGTGAATCTGGAAATTTCTCCCAAGTCCAGTGTGTTTTGAAAATGAAGGGGAAATGCACTTGGAGGACCCAGTTCAAGGGAGGAAGATTGTTCCTTGATTGTCTTTGTTTTTCACTTCGTTTTATATTTTGAGTGTTTAAATGTTGTAAGCTACATTGTTTTCAACTTTTTTAAAAAGAATTTTCTTATTTTAAGAATTGAAAAGAGTTGTGGGTTGTATTTAAGATATCTGTAAATTTGACCTTATATTTGTGCAGAAGGAAGAAAGAAGGTTTAGGATGAATAATCTGGCCACCGAATTCTGTTTTCCTGACTGCTCTCTGTTATCAGGTAGACTGTGGGATTCAAAGTTATCCAAAGCTCAGAGCCAAGAGATCTACATGCCATATCTTCCTGGAGGTTGGAGGGCCTCCCAGGGGAAATAAAACAAGTAGAAGTGGCTCATCTGTCATTCCCTTCGTCCTTTTCCCATTTAATTTTTTGTCTCTATCTTATTTTGATTTGACATACTTACTATCTCACCCTTAATTTTTTTGAGGTCACATAACACTCTTTCCAGGAAGTGGATTTTTAAGGCAATAAATATCCATCTGGTGTTTCCTTGAGAGAATAGTATGCTTACATACTCTATTAGTGGACAGTTGTGCACATTTAGGTGTATGAACATATGTAATTCAGAGAGTGAACTTATATTACTCTGAGATCTGCGTTTGGGGTTTTGGGGGTGCTTTTTTTTGGCAGGGGTGTTTCAGGATTTTTAAATTATTCAACCACTGGGCCTCAAATACATTGGAAAAATATTCTGACTTTTTGTTTGTTTTCTGTTTGGGGGCCACACCTGATTGTGCTCAAAAGTTACTCCTGGCTCTATGTATGTACAGGGATCACTCCAGGATATTGCTCAGGAACCGGATGTGGTGCCCAAGTCTGAACCCAGGTGGACCATGTGCAAGGCAGATACCTCCCCCCTCTGTACTATCTCTATGGCCAAAGGTGTTTGTTCTAAGATGTCACAGCAGTAGCGGCAGAACAGTCCAGACGGAGGGACCCAAATGTCCAAAGTCAAAGAAATCAAAGTACCTTGATGGTATCAATAAATATATTGGTAGAAAAGACTAATGTCAAAATAGTGTAGAAAATAAGCCTGGTGGATAGGCAGCAACCAAACTGTGACACATCTCTGGCCGCAGGCGAAGGATTTTGGCCCCTTCCCTGAAGCAATGGGGACATTAAGTAGCACAGGTTTTGCCAGACAATCAGTCTGAGAACTTTGTACAGATCGGATCACTGCCCATGCCTGGCAACAGGGGTATCAGTTAAACATGCTGTTATTCTAAACAGGAAAATTAGTAAAGATGGCCTAAACCAAGGCAGCAATTTTAGACATGGAAAGAATGAATCGTAAAATGATTTATTTAAAAATGTTTAAAGAAGAATCAACAAATTCATGGATTGTTTTTTGAGAAGAGGGTAAATGAAAAGAAGTAAAGGATAACTCCTTGTTTCCGGCTTGGGAAATTATATATCAATGATGATTTTATTAATAAAAATACTGAAAGAAGAGTAGATTAAGAAAAAGAACAAGTTGTCCCAGCAGAGTTGTTCACTGGACCATCGAGTATGCGTTGGAAGGTTCATTTGATATTGCTTTCCCATCCTATATGCTCTCCTTGGAACTTGTGTCTTGCTTGTCAAGTAGACTTTGGTGGTCGTATTTTTATCCCTACCCCAACCCATTCCATCCTCAGCTGACTAAGGAATATGTAGCAAACTTCAGAGGGTGGGTGGGGTGAGCATAATTCTTTAGGTGCGGAGCAAGTAATTGTCTCTCTTTCATAAATGAAGAATAGACATGACCAGATTCAAAAAATTACATAGGTTTGAATTTGAATGACTGTTTTCAGCTTTGCTGATAAGCAAGCATCCATACAGAGAAAGAAGGAAAATGGGGACAGATTCCTAGGGATACTAGAGATGAAAGATGTCACAGGTCAAGACGACTAGTAGTGACTATTGAGTTCCACATCTGCCTCCCTGTGAAGTTTCCAATATATGCTCTTTTATCTGATGCTTCAGTAACTCCTCTGTAAAGATTGGAATTGCTTGGCCATGAGAAGCAGAGTCTCAAAAATCATAATGACTTACAAAAAAGCTGGAAGTTTGTTTCTCTCACATTCAAGTCCAGACCTGATAGGAGAGCGTTTGAAAGTAATCAGAGACTCAGATTTCTTCCCTAGTGATAGCATGTCATCGTACCCTGTGGCTTCTGCCACATGGTGTCCAGGAAGGCTGCTCAAGCTGCTGCCTTCACGTCTGCATTCCAGCAAGGAGGAGGGAGTGAGGAAGAGGGCTTTGAGGATATGTCCAAGAGGTGGCACACAATTCCATTTGCACCCCTTGAGTTATAATATTTTAGGTATGTTAGTAATTTGTCTATTAATTACTTGAAAATTAATTTTAAATATTACCAAATTATCTTTTAAAAAAAGCATATGCAGATATTTACCCATAAAGTTCACTAATAAACTCTGTCATACAATGACCTTAACCAGTATCCATACATGAACCTATGTAAGTAATTTATTATAGAACTGTGGTTACAGTGGGAGCTGGAGAGATAGCACAGCAGGTAGGGTGTTTGCCTTGCACACGGCCGACCTGGGTTCGATTCCCAGCATCCCATATGTGCCCTGAGCACAGCCAGGAGTAACTCTTGAGTGCAGAGCCAGGAGTAACCCCTGTGCATTGCCAGGTGTGACCCAAAAAGCAAAAAAAAAAAATAAAAACAAAAACAAAAACTATGGTTATAGTTTTAGATACAAGGCTGTAGGACTTTTTTTCCATAGAGCCTATAACCATGCCTGGAAGAAAGGTGGCATCTCTTTAGTCATAATTTAAGTCACATGATTGTATCTGGCAATAAAATAGCTGTATTATTAAAGAAACAGAAGATTCTGCAGAAAAAAAGGAAAGGTAAATATTTAAGAAACTGACAGTTTCTGCTACATATAAAGGTATTTTTTCTGACAGTTTTTCTATTGTCACTTTTCCTAGATAGTTCTGAACCTTATCAGAGATGGGTTACTATTTCTGTCTCTTAACTACTCAGTGAGATAGCTATTACTAGTATGCCCATAGTGTTTTGGAGAAATTGGAGTTTAAGGAAGTTAGGGTACTTTTTTGGGAAGTTACAGCTAGAAAGTGCTGGAACCAGGGTTTGAAACAAGGAATATCAGACTGCTATGCCCGGGCTACTGGTGCAATCCCCACAGTAGTGAGAAGGGCCAAGAGGCAAGGGCAGAATTCTTAAGAGTGAGGGGGTGTGGAGGAGGGGTATTTGAAAGGTATGTACAAGAGTAGATCCGGGTGAACATGAAGTTGAGAAAGCAAGAGGCAAAGACTAAAATGGGAAAGTGGTGTCAGAGAAAAGGGAGAAGAGATGTTTTCAAGAAAGGATGTTACAGACACTGCTCAGGGATCATAAAAAGATCTGGCGAGAACCAAAAAATATCCAGGTGGGCTTGGCATTTTGAGGGTCATTGTTAGATGATACTTTGAGTAGAGTGGTAAGAGTGGAAACCAAACACTTTTGAGGAGAACAAATTAGGTCTGAAGACAAACAAACTGTTTGTTTTCTCCAAACCACTGTTTGGAGAACAGTGGTTTGAAGAGGATCTGGAGAGGTGTTTTCTATTGTTTACTTTACAGATCAGAGAGGGTTTTTTTTCAGTTCCAGGTATCAGAAGTAGGGTCTCACACATGTAAGACATGCAATATGTTCTCCACTGAGTCACATCTTTATCCCTGAGATCAAAGGCATCTTCCTCTAAAGGCAAGAGGGCAGGAGAGAGATAACAGTGCACACTCAGAAAGGAATCTGTTGGCTGCATGCAAGGCAATCTCCCTACCACAGTACTATCTCTCCAGCCCAAGATCATTTTGACTTCAGAAAATATAAGATGTTTATAGCTTGGCTTTGATATTGTCCGCTGTTTTATTTTAAGAGACAGCTAAATTATGCTTTGTAAGCTGTCTAAGGCATATAT